AAAATTCAATGGTATTCGTATCTCGATTTGATACGAAGCATTAGTACGAGCAGAAAAATTGGGCTGTGACGAGGTACAATGCAATAATCAAATGTGATATCATAGGTCTTCCATACCCCTCCAAATCAAGGGGCTTCTCTATCGAGCCTATAAAAACTCATCCCTTTGGTTTACCTATTTCCTATACTCAGCGGAGTTCACCCATGATTACAAAACGCTAGACTCTGCTTATAACCTCCTCATGATAATCTAAGCGAAGCGCTTAGAAACGTGACAAACCGCTTTGTCTATTAAATAAAAGTTCAAATAATTTAAAGCCTCAAGGATTTTATTAATCTATTTAACTAACTTTATCATCAGTTAAAAATTTCTCGTCTTCCGGCCATCCAAACTCATCAAAATGATTTGATATATTATAGATAATCCCTTCAGGATCGAAATCCGTAATAAAACGTTTTTCAGGTTGATTGAAAGGATATTCACTCTCATTTGGAACACCCCAAAAACCTGTATTAAAATCACGTCCATCATAAGCTGAAAAGTCTAATCCATTAAGATCTATATTTTGTGAAAATGTTGGAAAATATTTATCAAAATCACAGCTTCCAGTTGGCGTGATGTTTTGAGGTAAAAATTGGTTGAAGTATGGATCGTCAACTGTCAAATGTGGAAAATTTAATCAAATTAAAAAATTAAATCTTTTAATTTAATTTTAATGGTGGGTTTCAATAATTCAATCAGAACTTGATTTTTCCTTGATTTTTTCCTTTTTGATATTCTCCAAGGATTTGAATTATTAGTTAACAGTTAAAAAGACTTGATTCCGAAGCTCCATACCCGAAACTCTTGTCTTTTAAATTTTTTGGCAGACGGTTTTGAATAGGTACTAATTTTTATAAAAGGAAATATGATGATTTGTACATTATTCCTAATTTTATAACACTAAATAATACTTACACTGATAGTGAGATAAATGATCATTATAAGGTTTGAATTCTTTTGCTATAAAATAAAATTTAATAATACCGAATAAATTTAGCAGATTGGAAATTCAAAAATGAATGTCAGTATGAGAATAAAAAACCATTGAACCCCAGATTCTTTTTAGATAAAGCAACAGAAATTAGATAAGTTTTAAAATACCTAAGGGATTTAAAGAGCTTGTTGAAGGCCCAGGATCATGCTTGTTGCTAGATTCAGGTACCGAATCATCCTTACGTGATGCGCATTTTATAGGAATAATTACAAATGTAAATAATAATAGCGATATAAATAATAAATAAATATATGTTTTCATTTAAACATAAACGAATTTATGGATGAAAGGCTGAAATAATAATAATTATTATTAATAATTACCTAACACTAAAAAAAAGTTTCAACATGTTCGGTATCTCTCTCTCTCTCAAGACAGAGACAGTCATAGCGGGACTTTGGCAAACAAACTTCTTTGCTTTAGACTATAAATATTTTTCCATTTATGCCTGGTTAGTGTGACCATCTGTGCCTGTTTAGAGAGAGAGCTCTTTCCCAGTTATTATAGGATACAAGGGGAGAGGATGTGATCGGGAAATCCTAGAAGACCTTCGGGGTTGATCAAGTCCTTTACACTCTTCCCTAACACCGAACACACCAAAGTGGATTAAAGCGCTTTATTCACAAACTGTAAATGTGGACAATACTATAATCGCTAGCTAGCACATAATAAATAATAATTTAATACAACTGAACCGTGTATAACTGTGATCAAATCATTTAAATAAACATTTAAGTGGGAGGGTAGGCTAATGGATTGTTGAAATAATGTGAACGGAAATATAATCGAACAAATTCCTTCGGGTAGTCTTTCCAAGCCCATTATTTACTAGGAAAGGACTTAGAGTCCTACAATTCTAAATCGGTTGTTTTTAGATAGAAATGAATTGTTTGATCAGCTGAATTAAATTAATAAAGAATATAGGAAAAGGAAAAAATATGGAAATCCATCTAAATCGCATCCCTAGTTATAATAACTCACTGAAAACAAAAGATTTTTAAAAATAAAAACGGATTTGAGCTCAATTCATTATAACTATATCGCAAGAATAGGTTACAACTAAAGTGAGGATTTATAGGCAAGTAAAAACAATGAAATACACACCTAAAATTGGCACTAAAAGCCAAAAAGGATTTTTGAATATGGATTTTTTTGAAAAAACTATTAACTTAAATAGATATAAACATTACCAAAAACATATTAAAATGGATTACAAAAGTTTTTATGTAAAGATAAAAAGTTAAGATTTCTTCATAAAAATTATTTTTTTATTAATAAAAATTATTAAAAAATTTAAATTTCTAAAATAAATAATGAATTGGGGAGGGGAAGGGAAGGGAGAGAGGGAGGGAGGGAGCGAGCGGGCGCAGGGGAGAGGAATTTTATTTACATTCTTATTAGTCGAGAAAATCTATTAAATTAAGTCGCTCAATGGCATGTCTAAGTAAATGCAAATTAATGTATGTACGTCCAATCAATTTAAATTTAATTTGAAATTTACTTTTAAAATAAATTTAAAAAAATAATACATAAAATAAATTTAAATAATTAAAAAAACTTCTTGTAAAACATATGCTGAACGGTAATGCAAAACCTCACTCTACGATTAAATTGGATTTTTAAGAGTTACAAGAAGGTTATCCCACTAGAATTTCCTACAGTAATATAACAGTTAAGGAAATATCCCTAGTTTGTTACATTCCTAGTGAGCGATTCTCGAAATTAATGCCTGCTAAGAGTTTTATATTTTTGGCCATCTCAAAACTCAAAGAATAAAATTTATCTTTAGTTAAGTAAAAGCATCAAGACTGCAAGCGAAATGCGGATAGTCAAAAAAATTCGAAAAAAGTTGAATAATAATGCACTTTTCTACTAGTTCTCGTTAAATCTATTTTATTTTTACTATTAATAAATAGAGTAATTTTTATGTCGGATGTTTTTAAACAGGTAAACAAATTGTTTGATCAGCCAAAGCTCCCTAATAAAAACTCTATATAAGTATTTATATTTCTAGAATGAACAAATAAAAATAGAAATATATCCTCTAAAATCTTAGAAGAATCTTAATTTATAAATTTTTCCTTAAATGTTTCCTCTATATTTCTATACTCATATGGTTTTTGCTAATCATTTTTGTTTAAGCTCCTAAATGCTTTGTAAACAATTTAGCTAATTCATGATTATAGAAGCAAAAATTTCCAGATATGTATTATCTATGTTTTTGAGATTCGACTAGATTAATAATTTTATCAGAAACTCCTTTAATCTTGACAGATTTTAGAAAAATTTCTCTGAAAACTTAAAGTATAACAAAATTATAAAATAACAAAAAGTTATTAATAATAGATTAAAGTTTTGATTGTAAAGATAAAATTTTAAAAAATTCTCAGTAAAAAGTTTTTTTATTAATTAAAAATTACTTTAAAAATTTAAATTTCTAAAATAAATTTTGAATTGGGAGGGGGAAGGGAGGGGAGAGAGGGAGGGAGCGAGCGAGCGGACGTAAGGGAGAGGAATTTTATTTACACTCTTAGTAGTCGAGAAAAATCAATTCAATAAAGTCGCTCAATGGCATGTCTAAGGAAATTAAAATAAATACAATCAATTTAAATTTAATTTGAAAATAAATAAAAAAATTAAATAAAAGTTCCTTAAGTTGAGCGATCAGGAGACATCTTTTTCAACAAGGCTGACAAGAGCGAGTTTATTTAATAATGATTCAGTGGAAGAAGAAAATTAAGACTATTTCTAGAGTAATTTCATTAGACTTCCACATAAATATGAGAACCTGGATTTTATTTTTCTTCTATTTTTCTTGAACTTCGGATGTCTTTAAATACGCAATGTTTGGGAAATAATTACACAGGGTAATTACTAAAGAAAATTTGTACAACTGTTTACTTTTCTTGTGATTTACCTTAAACCTCATACGCGTCTTAAACTGGATATTCGTTTTCCTTACAACATTGTTTTCGATTTTATTTAATAATAAATTTTAATAAGTTAGTTTTACAGTTTAGTTTTCAATATATTTTTATTAATTAATTATTTTTTAAGATTAATTTACTTGTTTACTAAATTTAATTTTTCTGTTTAAAAACAAAAAATAAATTATAACTTACAAAACCGTCAATATTTAAAGTTTATTTTAAAAATCTCAGGTTTTTTCATGCTACGTCTCGCCCTCTTGAACATTTTTTTAAAACTTTATAAATTCTAAAATAACTATTAAAAAAATTGGTGGTAGTTAAATTATGATTTTTTTCTCTTAAAAATATAAACTTGAATAAATGGAAGGGTTAGAAGAAATGACATAAATAATGCTGCTAATACAAGCATAATTTCATTACATAAGTTAATTATTTCTCTTTATGCAAATTCACAACTTCCCGTTTTCATCAATAAAATTCACAATTTCCTATTAAATAGCCATTGTAATACATTAATCTAATTATTAAGGTATGACAAAGCCCAGGTTATACAACGTGGGGGTGCACGGAAGTAAACTGACAAACTCAAACACCGTTACCCTTGGTTAAAGAGGGATGGAGGAGGGTACCTCATCACTAAAATAATAAAAATATAATTTTTAATAAATTTATTTATTTTTTAAAACACATGAAGTACACTGATTAATTATTATTTTATTAAGAATTAAATAAAAGAATGCGTATTTTAATAACAATTTTAATCATTCAATTTTCTGTAGAATTTGCTCTTCTAATACCTCCTAAGGAAGAAACAGAATCGAAAATTGAAGGATTAGCTAAGGAAAAGACTGAAGAAAAACCTGAAATAACAAAAGAAAAAAAGGGAATCAGAAGAGAAAGATGAATTAATACCTGAAGAGAAACCTGAAGGTAAAGATGAGGATTCTGATACAAAAAATGAAGAAAATCCTCAAGGTAAAGCCAAAAGAGGGGAAGATAGAATAGCATCAATTCGTGAAAAAGGGGAGAGAGTTATGATGAGGAAAGCTAGATTAATATTTACAGCGGTGCCGGAATCGAAAAATGGCAGTAAAAAAGAAGATAAGAAAGAAGATAAGAAGGAAGGAAAGAAAGAGGAAGAAAAAAAGGAAGAAAATGAAGAAAAGATTTCTCAAACAAAGAAAGACCTGACAAAGAAAGAAGAAAAAATTGAAGTAAAACCTGACGAGAAGAAAGAAACTAAGGAAGAGAAGAAAACTGAAACTGCTATAAATAAAACACACAAGTTGAAATAGAATAAATATAAAATAATTAATAAAATTTTTCTGAAGTCCGAGTTAAAATCAAATTATTGTAAGGCGGAAATAGAATTGTGAAATATTAAATAAAACTTTCCCAGCGACCCCGCCTATCCATAACCAATATAATCCTAGGAATAAGCGAAGAAAGGGATCAGTCAGTCAATCAGTCAGCCTATTAGTCAGTCAATTAATAAAGTGAATAAGCGCTATTATATTTATTGCCCGATCGGAGGAATTAGTCGTCGCCCGTTTAATCGCTCTTAAGGAGTGAGCGGTGAATATTGTCCGGCCGGACTAACAACATTAATTAATTGGTATTCCCTCGTATTCTATTATCCTGGGCTCTACACTGGGTATGGATTCAGCAAGCTTCTTCTGGTAGCACCGGATGGTTTGCCTGATCTTCGGAGAAGGCAGACCATCCCTGGCAGCAGTGGAGTGAGCCTCGGCACAACAACAACTCCTTCTTCCATCAAAGGACAAGAGCTGGGCCCGGCTCGAGTCCTGAGAGGGAAGAAGAGGGATATGGAATAGTGGATGAGACGACCGCAAAATGACTGACAAGTATGGAGGAGGCCTCGGCCGTATGCTAAGTTTAAACCTTTTTCTTTTATAAAAAAAATTTACTTTAAGTTCTTATTAGGGAGTAGCTAGAAGTTAGTAAGGAATTAGAGTTTTCCAGCCCGAAAAACTCGAAAACGAACCGAATCGAAAAACCCAATCGAGAAAAACTTATATTTAGAAACAAATTCAAAAAAAGGGGAAATATCAACGACTAAAAATTATTCACGTGAATTTCGTTTCACTTCACATTTTCCATTTTTGTACACATTTAACCTTCTCTTGGGAAAAATGTTTTATTTTTTAACGGCTGGAAAAAAGAATAATTACTCATTGTATGTATATGCATAAGAAAGAGCTAAAAAAAAAATTTTTTTTCAATACCAAAATGAAAAACCGTCTGGCCCTTCTTTTCGGAAAAACTGCCCAAAAAGGGGGATGATTAATTTCCTTTGTTCCATTTCAAAAAAAAAAACTAAAAAAAATATAATTTTTCTCCTTTTCCCGCAAAAAATGTAATATCTAAAAAAGGAAACATTTCTAAAGATACCAAAGGTTATCTTCCAACGGTTTCATTTCGTAAGAAAATTTTACTTTACATTTATTTTATCCTCTATAAAGTCAGCTTGTGAAAAATTATGTTTTGTTATTTTTATAATTGAGTGCTTAGGCACATATTAATTTTTTTTTGTACATTCAAATTTAATGTCTTATTTCCTTTTTGTTCTACTAGTAAATGTCTATATCAGGGTTCCGATTGACAAATTTCCAATCAAAAGCACATAAACTCGATTTAAAAGCACATAGGGACTAAATTTCCAAATAAAAAGTACACTTCAAATTAAACCATTTTCTTTGCCGCAGGCAAAAATTTTGAGAATTTTAAGGTTAAATTCAATTTTTAGCAAAATGCTGATTTAAAAGTACATACTTAAAAAAAAGGAGTAAGAATCGGAACCCTGATCTTAAATGAATGAATTTTTCGATTAGCGTATTTCTGTACATTTTCCGTCACTCTTAAATGTAATTAAAAATTTTTAAAAACCCTTAGATTTTATATTCTCTTTAATTAATCAACTTTGCTTGGTATTTGTATACTAAATTTGTTTTTCTCCTTTTTCTTCATTAAATCAAAATTTTTTTTTAAATCAAAAAGTTTAAAGTAAAAATATCACATAACTTCTAGTTAGTCAAAATTTCCAAATAATTGTTTTCTTTTTCTTTCCCTTTTTACCTTTTATCTCCCTCGTCAAATAATGCCAAACAATTCATTAAGTTATTCTATCTCCGAAAATAGGGACCGTGGTCCAAGACAATAAGTACATAATTTTACTCCCAAAAAACATATTTAGACAATCATAACTTCATATAGTTCTATATGTTTAAATCTCACACATTTACACTCAAAAAAAATATATATTTTTCTCTTGCTTTATCTAATTGTCCCACATATTTCCACTCTCCAATTTTTTTTTAAATAATTATTTTGAACTCTGCAATATATACAACAGAACGACAAACGAAATTAAGTTTTAATGATTAACACTCATGGTGGAATTGTGGAACATGTGGATAAGGTGGAAGAATATGGCACTATAAGTTTAATTTTAAAAGAAAAATGGGTGTATAAACTTGACATATTTTTGGTTTTTCCAGGTGCTAAAAGATTTTTCTGTTCTCCTTTCCTTCTGTATGGGGTAGTATCTTTGGCGTATCTATGAACAGTTGGGCGCAAGCAAAAACCAAAAAACTCAAATATAAAATAAAATTTCGTATTACAACAAGTCAAAATTTCTTTTGAGAAAATTGTGATGAATCTAGTGCCTTCTATGTTCCTATTAGAGCCATGCGCTAAGAAGAGCCACCCCAGACAAAACATACTGTAACATATGAGATTTTGAATAATTTATACACCCTTTTTCATGTGGTTAACATTTGTTTTAATTAAATGCACACTTTCCACAAAATCCGGGACCAAGGTCCTATAAAAGAACTTTTGTTAAAGTACTCATATTTCCTGGTCAGCCAGTCTTTGATAGAGGTATCCAAGACCGAAAATTTCCATGAGTTAAAACCAAAAGCCTTAGATATTCTATTCCCGAACACATGATTTTCAGCCAAACCAAGTTGTCCTTTCTAACCATTTTTTCATTCACGTGAATTTCTCTATTTTCTCTTTAAAGTGTAACTTATCCAAGAAAGTGTAATTCTCTTTGGATAGAAGATTAAAAAAAAAAAAAAGAAAAAAAAAAGAAAAATGAATAAAATGATTAAAACATTTAGCTCTAGAATATTCGATTCCTATTATTAGAACAGAGCTGCACAAATTGTAACTTTTAGGGCACACGAAGTAGAATGAAAATTTTTATTCTGTTTCGTAAACGAAAAAAGACGGAACGATTTTTGTTTAGAGATGTTTCACAAAAAAAAAAGCTCAAAAAAAAAGCGAAATCGGTGCAGTCTTGATCAAGACTAGCCGGAACTTTACGGAGCTAAAATTAATTACACTTTCTTGTTTAATGAAGTCTCCTTAGCCATTTGCCTTTCAAAAAAAACCTCTGGTGTCAGATTGGTTAGCAATTGTATTTTTTTTATTATTTATGTAGTAGCAGGGATCATGGTCCAAGACTTTATAAAATTCTACTCCCAAGGTAAAAAAAAATCTATTTATATTTATGCTGTATTTTTAGGCCTTAATGGCTCAAAATATTTTCTATACTCCCTTATTATCGCTTTGTTTATATTTATGTCCTTTTATAGCTACATTCTAATTGTACATATGTATTTAAAATATAAATGTGTGGCGTTTTGAAGTCCCTTTCTCCAAAATGTCTCAACCCTAAAATGTCACTGTACAGAAAAATCCCATTAGGTCTGAGCCCAAAACTTCCCTTTTAAGAATGCCCAACAGGGTAAAAATATTCAATTAGTCGAGCAGTATCCCTCAAACTAATTTTTTTTATATACCAGGGGTGCCAGTTTCCCAGTTTCGCGTTTCGCCTTTCGTGGGTTTTCGTGTTTTGGAATTCCGAGTTTTGCGTGTAGTTTTTTTTATTCTGTTTTAAAATGACCTTCGCGTTTCGGTATCGCTTTTCGCGTTTTAAAATTTATTTTTATTAATCACAACATACATCTTATCCTAATAATACGTCTTTTTCTATTTTTATTGTTTTCCAAAATCTATTTAATTATGTCAACTATTTACCTGTCTCTGCCAATTATTATTATTGGCTTATATTGAGAGCCTTTTGGTGTACCGATTTGATTAAGTACAAAAATTAAGACATAAGTCTTTTATAAAAACAAGTCGAAATAAACTCGGGTCTGGTATACTGTCAGTAAAAAAAAATTTACGAAGTAGAATTTCCAAAGTGTTTAAGATTGCCAGTGAGAAGAAAGGGCAAAGTTTAGTTTAAAGAAAACTTTGTATTGTTTAAACAAGGACAAAGTTTCAATTCTAAAGAAAGTTGTTCACTAGTGTAAAGTAAGAGAAAATTAAAAAAAAAAGCGGTTTTTAAATTGTTTAATGGAAGGGAAAATTAGTTTAAAGAAGGAGAAAAGTCCCAGAAAGATTAGAAATCAGGAAGGCGAGAAGCTAACATTTGTAAAAGCAAACTAGTGTTAATCAAAGCAGTAGTGAATATTAAAAGAGTGGTGTGGTGTAATCATGTGAAAGAAACTAATCATAAACAAAATCGTCCATTAATAAATTTTATTAAGCTTTAGACTGGTCAGCCATATCTCCCATTCATTTATTAAAATTTTTTTAATTATATTTTTTAGAAATTAAATAAATAAAAGCTTCTTAATTGTATGAATTCAAACGTTGGACTGTCCACTAAGGACGCCACGACATCGAGTGCCTCGGCACAAATTAATGTTGGAAATGAGGAAGTGACCATTGCTGTAGTTGACAAAATGCTTTTAATGGGAAAGGTTGGTACAAACCAGGCACGTTTCACTGACTTAGAAAAAGTCCATGGGGACACAATCAGACTTGAGGAAGGTATTAATCGACTATTAAGAGCTATAAACCGAAAAATAAACCTTAATGCCAATAATTTAACCAATCTAGCTGATGAAGTTAATGTAGGTTTTGCAACACTGGGGTCTCAGATTGAGGGTTGTGTTACTCGACTAAATGGGGTTGGCACTGAACGCACACACTCTAAATCACTTTCGCCTATAAGGTGCTCTCCCAAAAATAAGTCAACTCCCAAAGTTAATTTAAATGAGAAAATTTTTGACAAGCCTCAAATTAGCTTTTCCTCAGCTATAGAAGCTTCGGCTAATAATAATCTTGATATCGATGATGATGAACAAGGGGATGACCATACACTAAACATGTTAAGTAACGAGGGCATTCCTTCCCTAGAGGTATTTTCAGATGATAACATAGTAGCACTAGATAAGTGGAGTAAGAAATTCATGGAAAGAATTAAAGTGTATGGGGCAAGGCTTTCTGAAGAAGAAAAGCTCAACCGCCTCTCTATCTTTTTGGACGATACTCCCAAACAAATATTTGAGGAATTAAGTCCCGCAAAGCGAACCACTTGTGAACAGGCATTAAAAAGCATAAGAGAAGAGCTTGACTCTCCTCAGCGTAGGTCACTTTCACGACAGGCTCTATTAATTTGTAAACAGCAGGAAAATGAAACAGTCAAGGAATTTTTGACAAGATTCAGACCTCTAGCGTTGGCAACAGCAGTGGACATGGCTGGTACTCATCGTGAACGTTATCTATGTGATCTTCTACTGGAAAGGCTTCTCCCTAATATTGCTTTCTGTATGAAACTCCTCAACTTTACTCAGAACAACCGTGGATTTGAGCAACTTTGTATGGATGCTAGGGAAGTAGAAATTATGATCCCAGGCAGAAGTAATCCGTTATTCCCAACAGCAAGTGTCAATGAGATGCAGGAAGTGAATCAGTACGTAGGTTCTCAGGGTCCTTCGGGACGTTTTAAAACTTTAAATCCAATTAACTCGAATAGAGTACAACCTCGTGAAGGTTGGAGATTTAACCAAACTAATGATCGAAACTTTAAGAATCGACAAATCAATCAACAACGAAGCTGGTCTAGGCCAAATCAAAGAATGAACAACTGGAACCGCAATCCCTCGAATGATCGCCGATGGAACAACAGACCAATGTGCAATTATTGCTCCCGTGTAGGCCACTTTGCCAGCAACTGTCGTGAAAGACTTGAACGCTTTAACTTCAGACAATATGAAGATCAAGGAACAAGCCAATCTCAAAGCAGGTCAGGTCAAATTCAAAATGATTCTATGCTATCAGAAATTTTAAATGCGATCAGAAAGATGAAGGTGGGTGAAAATTCAAATATTCCTTCAGTTCAAAATCTAGAGGTAGTCCAAAAATCTGAAAAGGTTAAAGAAAGTCCTAGAAATGAAAAAGAGTCAAAACAAAGTGCAATCTCGTCTTGGGAAGGCAGAAGGAGCTTAGGCCCAAAATTATTACCACTTACAATTTTAATGCTTGTAGCAATGTTCTCTCCTGCTTTAGGGTTTGAAAATTTACCGAAACCACAATGGCCAATGATTTGCCAAATGGAGAAACAAGGTATTTTATGGTCCCTACCTGAACTATCTGAATGTCCTAAACTCACACCGAACGTTTCGCACGCGCCTATTTCGCAAACAAGAACTGTTTATATGCTTAATGACTTAGAGTATGCGACTGACGCGTGGGCCTGTAGAAAAATACGCAAGATAGTTAAGAAATATACTTCTATTACTAATGTCCCAATAACTGAGCCAGTATCTTCAGAAATGTTAGAGGTGTCAAGAGAAGAGTGTAATAAGATGATTAATGAAAAGAAGTGTAGTTTAGGGTCACTCAAGGAAGAAAATGAAGTCTTTACGACTGGAAATAAAATTGACATTAGTCCTAAAATGTGGTTTGTAGGATCATTTACGTGGACTCAGGTCCAATCTGAAAATTGTATTTTATTTGAAACGCAAGTGTACTCTCACTGGGGTGAAAAGAATATAAGGACACCCTTAGGGGGCACCCATAATTGTTCTTATGATAAAGGTCACTGTGTATTGGAAAACAAAACGTTTCTTGAATGGACCATAAATGAAAAGAGTTTTTGCCGATATGTCCCAATAGGTCGTTGGACAGGAAAATTTTTAGACAACACATGGTTATCTGATGACGCCCAAATAGCCTTACATTTTGGAAAGCCCATAGCAAAAAGACAGGATTGTGGCAAGGATTTAGAAATCTCTGAGCAAGGTTTCGCTACCGAAACGCATCTTGAACGCACAAAGCGTAGTAAAAATGCAGAAAGCCTCGGCTTAGCAACAGCACCTGAACTAGCAGCTAGACTTACCTTTTTAGACAAAGAATGGGCAGAAACTATGACCTTCGCGTTTGCTCATTCACTAAAAGCAGTCTGCGATAATATGGAAACAGTAAAGAAACTAGCAGTAGCAGCGTATCTATCTAACCCTACAGGCCTGGCAAGAATGTTATTTAACAATGAATATTTAGTAGCAAAAAGAGAAGGCGTTTCTTTACTTAGTGTCTGGCCTTGTATAAAATTAAAGGAAAATGAGTTTAGTTTTGTTAACACAAAAATGGATGAATGTTTTGATTTAGTCCCAATTCAGGTCAAAACAGGTTCAAAGGATATTATGGCATTTCTTGACCCAAATACAATGATTATACAACCAACTGCTAGGAAAGCCCCTTGTTCCCAGTTTAGAAAAATAATACTTGAAGTAAATAATAATGTTATAGAAATAAATCAGCAGACTGGAGAAATAAAAACTGTAAAGCCCAGAGGCATAAGGAAAAATGAAGTAAGATATTTTCAAGTTCCAAACCTTAAGTCGCACTCATTTCATGAACTAGTACTTGTTAATTTAACTGACCTCAATACTCACACATTTATGACAAATATGGCTAAAGTAAGCGAATTAACTTACAGACTTAGTGAAAAAGACACAATCATTACCAAAACTTTATCAGATCAATGGAAAGAAGCTGGGGATAAAATCACAAAGGAAGTTTTTGGGGATTATATGGGAATTTGGAAAATTGGCATAACATGTCTAGTTGTAATCCTAATAATTGATTTAGTGATAAGACTGGCAGTAATTGTGTCAAAAAGCTATATAGGTAGCTTATTAGAAATTGCACAGCCATTTAAAGGAAGAATAACAAGGCAAGAAAGTGTAGTAAGGACACCTAAGAAAGTAAAATCGGTACCACTAAAAAGAATGTCCATGATAAAACAAAGGAAAAGGAGTGTACGTAAGCAAAGCAACTGGATTCCTCAAGTATCACAAATACCTCCAATAGAAATAAATGTTCTATCCACCTCAAGTGAAAATGCGGCCTCGGCCAAAAATAAATTAAATATTAACGCTACCTCTCCCAATACAGCAATTACTAGGGTAGCAGTCAATAGTAAACCTGTGAATTGTCTTATCGACACTGGTGCAAGTATATCCATAGCTCCTATCTCGCTTGCAAGAGAATTAAATATAGGACTTACCCCTACTTGTTTAGCAATCACTTCAGCCTCGGGTCATGAAATATTAGTTAAAGCACAAATGAAATGCTGTCTAGAAGTAGCTGGTCTAAAGCATACAGTCGATGTTAATTTAGTAGAAGATAAACAATTAAATAACAAAAGAAATTATCAAATGATAATTGGGTGTGATCTTTTGGGTAAACTACCACCTGTCACTTTTGACTTTAAGAATGACAAAGCGTGGTTTGGTAATTCCGCAGTATGCCTCGGCATAAATAATCAACCTCTAATAGAAAATGCGAAAATTTATGCAATAGAAGCCACAACTATTCTCCCAGGGTCCCACAAAATTGTTAAAGGAAAATTAATTTCCATGAATAAAATAAACAATGCATTGATTCATGCTTTAGAAAATCGTCTAGTATGTGAAGACATTGGATTAATTCCGACAGTTGTGGAACCAATGAACAATTCTGTATGTATTTTGCTGGCCAATCCCACAAATGCCCCAAAGCATATATTTAATGGGATGCATATAGCATTTGCAGATGAGTGTATAGAAAGCAGTGAAGGTCCTTGGCTAACCCAATATCAAGATAAAAGTGAAATAGATGCTTACAAAGTAAATAACTTAGAAAGAGATAATACATTCAAAATAGATTTTTCCAAAAGCTCTGTCCAGGGAAATGATTTAATTAAGCTCCAAAAACTATGTGAAGAATTCTCAGATGTCTTTAGCAAAAGTCAGTATGATTTAGGTTCTTGTATAGTAGGAGAACATGACATTCTAACCACAACGGAAACTCCCATTGCTTCCAAACCTCATAGAGTCCCATTTAAATTTCAAAGCGAACTGCAAGAAAATATTACCAAGCTCTTAAAATCAGGAGTGATGGTAAAATCTGACACTCCGTGGGTCTCAAATATAGTATTAGTGCTGAAAAAAGATGGTGGGCTTAGGCCTTGTATAGACTTTAGAAAATTAAATGAAGTTACAGTACCGGACCATTTTCCCCTACCTAGGTTGGAAACAATTATGGAAAAAGTAGGAGGTTGTCACTTTTATTCATCGCTTGATCTTTCTAGTGGATATCTTCAAATAAGATTAACTGAAAGAGCCTCTAGGAAATGTGGTGTAATTACTGAAGATGAGGTATACCAAATGACCCATATGCCGTTCGGTTTGAGAAATGCAACCAGTGCGTTCGCAAGAGTAATGGCGCATGTAATCAGTGGATTAGAAGATTGTGTGTTGACTTATGTAGATGACTTTCTTGTATTTACAAAACCAAATGACTTCGATGTGCATCTCGATGCCTTAAAACAAGTATTTGAGCGATTAAGAAAATTTTCATTAAAAGTCAGTCCCAAGAAATGTGTATTGGGATCAACAAAAATGCACTTCTTAGGGCATATAATTAATTCCTCAGGCTACACACCAAGCCTAAGCAAAGTGGAAATAATTAAGAACTTAGCAGCACCCACGAGCGTTAAAGAAGTCAGGCGAGTAGTAGGAATGGCATCATTTTTCAGAAAGCATATTCAAAATTTTTCAATGATAGCAGAACCGTTAACCAGACTAACTCGCAAAGAAAATTGCTTTAAGTGGGAAGACGAGCAACAAAGAGCGTTTGATAAAATAAAAGAAATATTGACGAATGAACCAGTCCTGACCTTTCCAGATTATAGTAAGCCGTTTCACATTTTCACTGATGCATCTCTAGTAGGTCAAGGCGGGGCACTAATGCAAAAGAATGAAAATAATTTGTTTCAAGCAATAGCATATTGTAGTAGAACATTAACCACTGCAGAAAGGAAGTGGCCACCAGTACAAATAGAGCTAGGTGCGATAATCTATGCACTTAGGCAATTCAAACCTTTTATTTATATGGCAGAGGTCGAGCTTCACACTGACCATAAGCCATTGGCATACCTTCTTGAAAAGGCGCAGGCCCACCCAAATCTAGCACGCTGGCTCATTGAACTACAGAATTATAATATAAAAATTGTACATGTTTCTGGAAAAGAAAACCTCTTAGCAGATGCACTCTCAAGGGTATTTAAGACAAATGACCCCAAAGAAGTAGAAAATCTCGAAGAGCTTGAAGACATTGCCGAGTTTCCCGTGTGTTTAGCCTTAAGAGCTAAGTCGCAATTAGTTGTTGATGAGTCTATAGCAGCCTTTACTTTAAGAAAAGATGGACAAAATTATACAATTGATATTAGGCATGAGCAAAGTGAAGACCCTGAGGCTTCGGCCCTTATTAAATTTTTAAAGACAGGAGAAATTCCTGAGGAAATTCCTCAGAATGAAATAGAAAAATTTGTAGTATCAGCAGAAAATCTTCAAATAATAGGGGACATACTTTGCCATAAATTACCGAACTTGTATCCCAGAATATTTGTACCAGTCTCCCTTAGAGCATTAATCTTTGAATCTTTTCACTCCTCGCACCTGGGCGGAGGACATATGAGTATGAAAAAGACATTAAAGAAATGCAGAAAATATTTTTGGCATAGAATGCACGCTGATATACTCACCTGGACGCGTAACTGTATAACCTGTCAGCTTCGGCACTCTCCAAATCCTCCTTACAGAGCTGAAATGCAGATGGCTCCTCCAAGTACACTCTTTGCTAAAGTAGGAATTGACTTAGCGGGTCCCTTTCCGATGACACAAAATGGAAACAAATATATAATGAACATTATTTGTTGGTTCACGAAATATGTAATTTCAGTGCCTGTCCCTGACGCAAAAGCATTAACGTTAGCAAAGGCTTTCCTCACAAATTGCTATCTGAGGTTTGGCGGATGTATTGAATTAATAACTGATAATGCCACGGCATTCACTAGCGAATTTTTCAGAAATTTCTGCTCTATGTTGTATATAAATAAGAGCTATGCAATTCCACACTGGTCCCAAGGCAATGCAGTCACTGAACGCTCTTTTAGAACATTCCATAACATTCTTGCCAAGTATATAAATAAGGAACAGCCCGATTTTGATGAATTTGTAGACATAGCCAGCTTTTGCTATAACACATCAATTCATGCTTCAACAGGAGAAACACCTTTCTTTTTAATGTTCGGTAGAGATCCAATTTTCTGTGTAGACCAAATTCTCGATCCCAGAGTTCACGACCCAATAGCCTTAACTGATTTATCTGAATTCAAACAAAAACTAGTAGTCTCGTTGAGAAAAGCATGGGAAGCCGCGGACGAAGCAAATAAGGAAGCCCAATTAAAGTCAAAAGCCCAGTACGACAAATTGACTAGAAACCCAACAGTAACTGTAGGTGACAGAGTATTATTGAGGAATTATTGTGGCAAAATAGGTACCTCGAAGAAATTTCACATGCCCTGGAAAGGTGTATTCAGAGTGGTAAAAATAGATGGAATTTATGTTACTATAGTTAGTTGTAATGCTCCTAGTGCGATACCGAAGGTTGTTCATATAAACCAGTTAAAGAAGTGCTTTGAAGATCTACCACCGATAGTAACAGTCCCAGAATTAACCCAGGAAGAGGAAAAAGCAATTAATGACTCAAACAGTCAGGAATTAATTACAACCACTCCAATAGAGGAGAATTGTACTGAAGATAATAATAGTAGGGAACCCAATGAGAAAAGGTACAACCTCCGTAGGCATCCCAAAGCCAGAAGGCTTTCAATAGAATAAACTCACTCTCTTAAATATATTTCCAATTATTTTTCAATCTCTTTTTAAATCATTTTTCCCAAATTTTACCCATTTTACTCTCACACATTTAAATTTTTTTTTAGTCGATTTTAATTTAAATCACAAAATTTTCAAATTTAATTTAAAATAATTTTTTTTATAGAAAGACAATGTCTAAAAATCTTAAAATAAAAGCAACCAAAGCTAAAGTATCTGAAGCATCAATGCAAGGAATTGGATCCTCGTCTACAGCTTCATTAGGGACTTCGGTCCAAAATAATTTGTGTGAGAGTGAGAAAAACGTTGGGACTTCGGTCCATTTAAAAAGTGAAAAGAGAGAAATCTCTTTAAAAAATCTTATCATTTCAGATAACAAAGTAACTTCGGTTCAAAATAAAATGTCAAGTGAAGAAAAACTTTTGGAAGTTGTGAATGTCATTGATCCACAGAGAATTACGGAAAGTTTGGAGAATTTTGTCCTGGAGGCCGAAAATGAAAATACGGAAGATGAAGAAATACTGAAAGAAGCTCTGGATAAATGGGAGGAAGCATGTAATTCGTGGAGAGAAGAAAATGAATCACAAGCCGTCGGAACTAGTGGGCTTAGTGGAGTCTCGGCTCAAAATAAAGATAAGTTTACAGAAGTAAAAAGTAAAGGAAAACATTATGTTATATCCCAACTTCAAGAAGCCAGACTTATTGCAGTGTCTACATCCCCTAACAAAGATGGGTGGCCTCTATTCATGGAAATTCCTTGGAGTGCTCTAGTCGAAATGAACAATGAAGGCGCGAAAGATGCGTGTGTCGGAGATGACATTTACATTACTAAATTCAAGCTTCGTACTGACAAATTCCAAACCTTGAATGAAAATACATGGTTCTATCAAGGCAATATTAATTGGCAAGCTACGGCGACTGAAATAGAAATGGTTGCAATACAGGAGTTTAGATTGAAAACAGGGTTTGTTGTAGAAACTAAGAGAAGGGGAAAAGATAGAAAGACGGGTTCAATTCGAGTTATTGCTTTTGGAATGGAGCGGACTTCGGTCCTTTATAAACGTCAGTGTATGCGAGTTGAGTGGGACAAATTAAAGAAAGGCATGTTTATTGACATAGCATTAGCACCAATTGAAGAAGGATGGTTAATTGGCCCGAACTATATATTACCTCCGGGATGTAATTTCCGATTAGGAACTGAAGTATTAGCAAAGTCAAACTCGAAAATTGCCAGATCTGCACGTGCGTATGAGGGTGAATGGCGTTTTTCAGCAGTCTCAACCATTCCAAGAATTTGTAGAATAACCAAACGCCATACTTTAGAAAAAATAAACTCAGTTGGGGACCTTATTGAAGCAGCCTTAATTGTAATTGGAGAAGAGAAGAAACGTCTTAAATGGAGGCGACCTATTGAGCTTTGATAATCCTGCTTAGATACGGAAGACTAGTGTATTGTAAGTGTGTAGCCACAAACAGAAATTTTTTTAAAGCGATTCTGTGACGATCAGGGACGATCGACCGCATGGATGAGAGAGAAAGTGAACAGCTTTAATGTGTATATAGAGTGAAATCGAATAAACACACACTTAAAATTGAAGGACATGAACAATGCATAGCTATTCTTGACCCTGCGCGCACACTCACTAAAGGCACTGAGCAATTTCAGACTTTATTAAGGACACGCTGCGATCAACTGTAGCTTAGTCGCGTTCCCAGCACGGTTTATTAGTAGTTGCGAACTTTGAGGCGATTAAAGAAGATGCAGTAAGGCGCAGGTTATGCAGCACTCGGAATTGTTCACCCCAAGAGTAGACAGTAGATAGTTGGAAGTGATGGATCTCTCAATAAGTGCTAGGGGCTTTGGCGGAATTTTAAAGGATTTACAGGGACGATCCGTGCAATCAGACAGGTTGAGACTCAAATTGGCCGGACCAAGCGTGCAACAACCAGAACAACGTGCAGAAGAAAGGCGAACCGAACAACGTGGGCCACCAAGAGCTGTGAGGTGTTATCAGTGTGGTGGCAAAGGACACTTAGCACGCGAATGCAGACGTGTTTGAAGAAAATGCGAGGCGGTCAAAGCAGAAGAGGTAGAGACTTAATTTAAATTAAAAATAAAAAGTGACTTCGGTCAAATATAAATAAACGTGTGTAAAAATTAGTTGACCTCGGTCAAAGATAAAAATAAAAACAGGGAATGGAATGGACAATGGAACGAACATTCAAGGAGTGGAATGGTCAGGTAAAGACCAGGGACGGTCTTCCCCGGGGTTGGAGATGTAAGGCGGAAATAGAATTGTGAAATATTAAATAAAACTTTCCCAGCGACCCCGCCTATCCATAACCAATATAATCCTAGGAATAAGCGAAGAAAGGGATCAGTCAGTCAATCAGTCAGCCTATTAGTCAGTCAATTAATAAAGTGAATAAGCGCTATTATATTTATTGCCCGATCGGAGGAATTAGTCGTCGCCCGTTTAATCGCTCTTAAGGAGTGAGCGGTGAATATTGTCCGGCCGGACTAACAACATTAATTAATTGGTATTCCCTCGTATTCTATTATCCTGGGCTCTACACTGGGTATGGATTCAGCAAGCTTCTTCTTTATTTATAGATTCTTTTGTTTATTTTTTCAAAAATTTAATTATTATAATTTTTTAATTAAAATTTTGAAAATATTTTTTTTCATATAAAATTGTAACTATAACAATTTTTAAATGTTTCGACAAGTAAAATTGAAAAATTATGAAAACTATCAATAAATTGGGGAATTAATATTTGGTGCGTTTAATCAAGGATTGCAAATTAGCATTGGACGGCAAAATCATTTTTATACATGGGAAACCTTTAGATTTCATAATCGAGCCTGGCCAGATCTGTACATAATTTCTGGCTTAATCCAGAGAAATAATTACGTGTAATGAACGATGCCGAATAAGTAGAGAGAGAATATTCTTATCCCCGAGGACGGGATTCGAACACTAGTAAAATTACTTATTTGCTCCCGACAGTAATATATTTAATTTCTTTAATTATATTATTTTCTAGTTAAAACATTTTCCGATTTATTGAAATTATAAAATTTTATAATTTATTGAAATTGTTTTTAATAGACTAAAAAGTGCAACTCTTATTATGAAATTATTAAATATTTACAGACATTATAAAAAATCGAATAATTGAGTGTGTGATTCTCTTTAATCTGCCGCTTATTTACATATCTCGTGATTTATTTCTTAACATATCAATTAATGCCGCTCTCAAAAAATGCCGCTATGGTAAGCAATAACATTTAAAAAAATTTTTAATAATTGATATTTAATAATTGAATAAAACAGCGGATACGTTTAAACATCTAAAACTTCAGTTTATATTTACTATTTGGTAGGCCGTTAATGGGAGACTATAAGAATTCTTTAAGATTTTTAATCATCAAATCGCTATATAAATGTGAGATACGACTGTATTATTTTATTAACTTATAAGAATAAAATACTTTATCATATAAATATAATTTAATAAACAATTTTTAGATGAAATTAACTAATTATGTGATTTGTTTCTTAAATATTTTTAACTTTTTTGCTTTGTTGGAAGGCGCAGGAGATAGTAAAAGAAAGGAAAAACTGATTGGAACGACAAGCGGTAGTGAAAAGGGAAATGATTCAGATGTTCGATATACGCGTAAGTTGCTAAATTTGTCTAACGTGAAAAAGAAAAAATAAAAAAATCTCAATCTCAATTGTATCTTTTCCGCTTTAATCACTTTTTTGTTAAAAGGATTTAAAATATTATTAAATGATTATAATAGAAGGAAGTTCCCTACTGACCAAAAGTAGGAATCAAGATAGATTAGAAGCTTACAAAATTTCTGTTACTTTTTGGTTGTCTCTCCCATTTTCTTTATCTCCTTTTTACTAATTCGATTAGCTATAGCTTTTTTATCATTGAAATATCCTGACAAGAATGAATAAAAATCACCATCCTGGAATAATTTATTGCGTAGGATGATATAGCTTGCTGTAAAGAGTAACCTAAAAAGACTAAAATCTAGGGCTATCAAAGTATCCCTGATCAAAGTATTCCCATTAAATGGTAACGATAAGCTTTTTGTGTTAGATAATTTCGCCAATCCATTATTATTAGATCAAATTATATTTTTCGTTTAAATTTTTTTGAATTTTATCTTAGAAATAAACTTTATAAAAATTTTTAGCTGGAAATAATGCAACAGTCAATACACAACCTCGTCTAATGCAAGATTTTAGTATTGTGAGTAACGAGGAACTTGAAACCTCAAAGGATATAAAACGCAAAAGAGGTATTATATGTAGAATAAAAATATAATAAGCTTTTCTTTACTAAATAAGCATGAGGTATTAAAAATGCGTTGATGAAGTATTTTTTTATCTAGCTGTTTATTAACCTTCAAATGCTGATAATAAAGTTAACAAAGGAATAAACGATTATGTCCGAATGAGCTTTAAAATGTTTTTACGATTTGTGATATCTCTATATGTATATACTATACTCTTAAACTCTGTTATCTAAGCTCCCAAAATTATCCTTTAAGCCAATAAAGGAATTAATCTTTTCTTATTTGGATTTGATGCTTTAATGGATTCACCATATTTACTATTATAGAGGACAAATCAAAAATTTGGACTCATTTTAATGTAAATAAAGGAATAGCTACCTGTAAAGAATGCGATCAAACGTGCCCTCAAGCTTATGTGGTAAAAGACAATGGACCTATAATAAAGTTAAAGGCACATCTTGAAAAGCATGGCATTAATATACAAAATGTGCTAAATTGTGATGGATTACCAAAACGTAATTTTAAAAAATTATTGAATATACGGCAAGGTAGGTTAATAAAGGGCTGGTACTAGTAAAAGAATGTCAGGCTTTGTCAGGCTTATTCAGTTTTGTCAAACTTATTCAGTCCTATTTGATTAAATGCTCCCAAGATTAATCTTTAACTTTATATTTGGATTTCAAAATTTTATAAAATTTTTGTTTAAATAACATAAATTTAAGCAATATATAATATTATAGGAAGGAAATCACTAGCCTGGAATTATTTTAATGCGGAGAATGGTATGGCTCAATGTAATATATGCTCAACGAGATATAAAACTTATTTGGGATGTACGACTGCTTTAAAGAAACATCTTAAAAATGCCCATCAAATTCATGTCCCTAATGTGAAAGAAAATAAAGGAATACAAATACGTAATTTAAATTTTTAATTATATTATTAATAAAAACGAATATATTCATCACCAACGTGTCGGATCGGATATCACAAAATTTTGGATCGGGTAATTTCTTATGCAAACCCATACAAATCTAAGACATAATATGCTAATGAACTTAGGGAGGGTTATTAAATTAAAACGATGATTAAGACGATATCATTATACATGTTGAAATAATTTTTACTTAAAACATGATATTAGAAATGGATTTGAACTCGATATTAAACCTTTAATTTTTAGGAAGCAATGAGGAAGGTACAAATGTAGAAGCAGGAGACGGCGGAGAATCTAAAAATATTATAGCAGGAGATCGTGAAGGAGTTCCATATGTTAAAGCAGGGGACGGAGAAGAAGCTGCAAATGTTGAAGGAGATGGTGAAGAAGCATCAGATAGTGACGCTACGGTTTCAGATTTCAACTAAATTTAAACTATTTAAAGCAGTAATGGACTATTTCGCTATAAAAAAGGAAAGACAAAAAATTTAAAAAATTCTGTATCTGACAAAAAAATTTAAAATAAAAAAATCATGAAATATTAAAATGCAAAAAAATATTGCAAAAAGTAAACAAAATTATGTACATATTTATTAACTTTGCTTCATTGTATTCATTCATTTATAATTAGTATTAGTATGAAAATTAAATTTAAAATATCTTTCTTTATTTATTGGGAAAACTGCTGCTTCAACTCTTTGTCCAAGCAAAGGGTTTATTAATATACGTATGATACTTTATTAATTTACTATCAATAAAGATATATTAGATTAAATTATTCCTAATTTAATACAGGATGGGATAAATAATTTGTCCGGTAACATTTGGATAAATAAAATTTTGGTCGATTTAAACTAGAAAATATGTATAAAAAAATAAATTTTATATAAGATTAATAATATTAGCCATAAAAATAAAAAGAATGCACATGTAATATGTATAAATAAGATTAAAATAATCTAAAAATATCATTTTTATTCTTTGTTAATTCTTTTAAATCGCTCCTAAAATGGTTTACACAATGATTTTTATCTTCGTCCCCATCCCCAGCCACCATAACCATAACCTCCACAGCATCCCCATCCTCCACCATAACCTCCACCCCATCCCCATCCTCCTCCAAAACCGCCCCAACCTCCGTAGCCACCCCATCCACCATATCCATAGCCCCAACGCTTTTGCCGTTCACTTAATTGTTAAAATTATTAAATAATATTTAGAACAATTTACTCTTTTCCATCTCCTGATTTGACAATAAACGGAGGAGCAACATCAGATTTTTCATTGTTTTTAGATTGAAATACGAGATTAGGTTTTGCCTCAGGTTTTACAGCCCCTTGTATTGTTTTTGTCTGTGCCGGTATTTCTGCTTTTTCGTCCTTTTTTACTTCATTGTCTGGTCCTTTTTCAGCTGCATAAGCAAATGACAATAATAAAGCTATTAGGAAGGATTTTATGAAAATAGAATTCATTTTTATAAATAAAAGTTTCTAAAAATTTATTTAATAAGTTCAGTAGTAAACGAATAGTCGAAAGTAGGGCGTTTCGATATAAATATTGTTACAAAACCTCACTGTAGGAGGTAATTAATTGGGAGGGAATAGTTGAGCAGGCCAATGTACCGCGAGCCCAATGTACCACTGAGCTATAACTTTGTCCAAAATTGTCGAAGCCGTGGCGCCACGCCATGTTCGATTCAGCTGGACGAGATGCATCAAACCATACCAGGCCGCCACGGATTCTGCAATTTTGAATAAAGTTATGCTCGGCGTTACATAGGGCTCGCGGTACATCGGGGTGTACCCAATTATTTGGGAGGGGGTAATTATTCGAGTATTCTAGAATAATCATCGGGTTGATGTAACGGATGCGACAAAAGTTCGCTAGCTCAAGATGATGGTTCTATCATCTGAGATGTTCTATCATCTTGATGGTAACACCTATTTATTTTTTTGGAAAAAGCTAGTTCCTTCGGCTTTATTATAAACATCTGTAGTGCTGTAGGTTTTTAGTACGGTTTTCGATTTCACCAGATTCTATTGTCTTCTGTTCGGTTTGAAGTCGTCAACAATAGTAGTGAGTGTTATATACTTCTGTAGAAGTTGTGATTGCTATAAAAATTTGAAAGTAAGTAGTTGGGCAGTGAGTGATAGAAATTTTATTTTAATTAAAATGGATCTCTATAAATTTATTTTTATATTACTAAAAGTATGAGCACATTTTTATTATTTATTTCAGCATTTGAGAAATTCTAATTAATTTTTTACATCATAAGAATATATCCAACAAACCACAAAAACTAACAAAAACTAGAAACAAAAATTTTCAAAAATAAATAAAGATTCATCGAAAATTGATGACCTTTTAAATTAAAAACTCTAAATATTTTATAGTTTAATATTTCTAACCATTCTTATTATTTATTTTACATATTTAAAGGCGTCATCTTCTGTTTAATATTCAAAATAAACAATTAAATAAATTATAATTTTAGTAAGTTGAAGAAATTTTTGAAGTTTTTCATTGAAAAATCTTCATAAATAAAATATAGAAATATTTTTGTTATTATTTTTGGTAAAGGAAATTAATTAAAAATAGCCTATAATTTGTTTGGCGAATTTAAAGAAAAGTTTTTTGTGAATAAACTTTGTAAGAAAAAATTAATTTTTAAACTAAAATAATGTGCACTATTTACCAAACACAATTACAAAGTATAGATGAATCAGTCTCTGATGAATACCTAGATAGTGGGTTCTGGGTCAGTAACATAAAGCTATTCGTATCTTCTTGCTCCGGCCGTACCTGGGACCTCCATAGCAGCAAAAACCACCACGGAGACCATAGGTAAGGAGCTATTCTGAATCTTTTCCCTACTTTTTGTTTAACATTATTCAACACCTATATTGAGGTGTCGACCTTTCTCACCCCCCTCTATGTTTTTAAATTTTTCGGGACCTATAACTCTGTCCAGAATCATTTCCTGAAGTAGGGAGTACTACCGTTCGACTCAGTCACATATGTCACGTCCCGAACATTTACCACCGTTACACACACGATATCAAAAAATTTTTATGATTTAAACTAGTATGTTATTGAGGTCAAACTTTATTGAAATTTATATTACAACCTACTTTCAGCTTTAAAAACAAATATAAACTATCTATTAATTTGTCTTTTCCCTACTTTTTGTTTAACATCATTAAATAATCTTTCACTTCAATTATCTCCTAGAACCAAATAATTTAACAATTATATAAACGAATCCAAACAATAAAGCTAATACTGAAATAATTCCAAATCCAGCAAGAATTGCCGTGCCTGTTGAAGCCAAAAATTGTGCCTTTGCTGCCTGTTGCTAAAATTATTACAGAATGTTTGCTCATTCATTTTAAATATTATTGAATTCGATCAGCAATATTATTACATTAAAGCAAAATAAAAGAGATTCTGGTAGTGGGTTGTCAACACGAGAGGTCGATCGAAATTCCGATTTCCGAAAATTTGAGCTGATTTTCGATTTCCGACTTTTAAGCCATTGCCGATTTCCGGCACCTTTGTCATTTCTGATCAACCTCTGTTCCGCGCCTAAAAATTTTTCATATATCTAAAACCGAATTGTAAAACCGACATAAAAAATTTTCATTCTTCAGTTCGTTTAAATTCTGAATGATAATAATGGCTATTATTATGTCACGAATAGGGTCGATAGTTTTTGGAAATCCTTGGATATTGGAACTCTTCGGTTCGGTTCCAAAATACAACACTAGTTATAAAATTAAACACAATATCTTTGCTACTTTTAGGCTAAAATATTGTAAGGCAGAGAAAGAGAGAAGATCCAGCTGGCTAGCATTTAAAACGCTGACTGCGGGGGTTTAAGATCTAATAAAAGAGAAGGTGAAAGCAGCGTCCCGGTAGCTCAGTTGGTAGAGCACCTGTACGTGGTGAGCGAAAGCGCCTAGCAATAACTGCCAGGAGGTCGCAGGATCGAAGCCTGCCCGGGATTAAACTTTTACCTCGCTCTTACTATATATTATGATAAATACATATTATCGAAACAGAATTCATTATTCTGTTTCGATATACATAAACCATTTTATATCTTATTCAAACCTCTCCCTCAAATTCGTTAAAATTTGTAGAATTTATTCTTGTTCCATTAACGAAAAGAAAAGTGTTTGAAAATAAAAGATTGTTAATTAATAAATAAAATAAACATTTTTGTAAGTAATTTTCAACTTTTTGTATTTGGAAGAACATTATGTATATTTATTTAATTATTTATTAAACAAATTAGTAATGTTATTAATAAATTAGTAATAATTTTAATAGGAAATAATAATTATTTTAAAAATAAATAATAGATAAATTTATTAATGACTAATCAATTCTACCCAATATTTATTTTTTGCTAAAAAGAAAATCCGGGAAAATGCGCAAGAATGAGAGAAAAGCTAAAAACGAGCTTTTAATTTTTTTCTTTTAGTCTAAAATTTTGTTATAGAATGTATTATTTTTTTAATTAAAAATTTAAATTATAATTATACCGAGAAATATAAGTGTACCAAAATAAGTGCCCAAAATTCGTATTCGTACCTCGTACGTGGTATAAAATAAGAGCAAAAATAGGAGTCTTACGAAGTACGAGGTTAAAAATAAGTGTGGTACCACGACAAATTGAAGTTTTGAGATATTTACCCTTACCCGAGTGTTTTGAGTGTATTACACAGTTTTATGAAAATTTAATTTGTTTTACATCTCATTAATAATCTTAATAAATTACCCATTATTCCTTTTAATTTCAATATTAACCCAAATAAAAATTTAATTTATCAAAACACCAAAATTAATTCCCATTAGTATTTCACCCATTCTTTACTTTACTTTATTCTTTTATTTTTTAATTGTTGCCATCAATGGCGCAATCTCGCGCATCATCGCTCCAATTGATGAAGTTATTTGAGCATTATCTTTGGGTACTACAACACTGCTAATGTTCGATTTCGCCTAAGAAAATTATTTTTTAATCAAAAATTAAAAATTCAAAACCGCCTGATAAGCATCGACATAAAGTTGAATACAATGAATTATCTCTTGAGTGGGTGGTTCTGTATCTTTATCATAAGAATTTTTCAGAATATTGACACTCTTTTCGAGCTCGGTAGCTATTTGTAATAAATGTTGAGTCTAAAATTAATATTTATTTGATTTGAATTTCCTACTGAAATGGATAAATATTTCTCTAATTTTGAATATAATACTTTTTAATTTATTTCTATCATTGTAAAGAGGGGGGGGCAAGGGTTAAACCATTTTAAAGAGAAAAAAAGGTTTGATATCTACATAATTGGTAGCACTGCATCTGCTGATCACTGTAGAAGCTCTGCTGATCAACGCTATAGAAGCCCTGCTGATACCTAACCTGCAGATAAACCTTTGCTATGCTTTAAATTTATTAAATTAATAGAGCTTTATGAGACTTAAGGCCTTGATTTTCTTTTGTTCTTGCTTTCATTTTCTTTTGTTTTTCTTCAAGGCCTTGCTTTCATTTTTTGAAATAATTGAAGTATATTAATTTATTAATAAAGTAGAATACCTTCGCAACTTCCAATTCAGTTGGCCCTCCTGTAGCAGGTGTTGCAATTGATATTTCCCCCATTCCAATATATAATAGGACACCAACTCCGTGATGGCAAGTTGCAAGTCTAGCTTTTGCTTGCAATTTAAAAATAGCTTCGCTATCAAGACCATTTTCTTTTTCATTTTTACAGTTAATAAGATTAGCAAATGGAATTAAAAATAAAATTAAACAGAATTTTGAAGTAGCCATTTTTAATTATTTTATTCTAAATTATATTTTTATTATAAAATAATTTCAGAAACTATACCGATCACATTTATATTTTTAAAAGTATTCAAGCGTTTGAACATTTTTAAAACTATCATTTTTTGAAATGAATACATTGCCCTCTTGTAGGTAACTTTTCCCCTTTCCTTACGTTTTGTTAGGGTATCATGAGTGTATTATTATTATTAGGACTGGCTATTAAATGGAATCATTATATTTCCTTTAATTCCCAGCCTTAATTATAATTAAGAACCACTTAGTTTCACCTCTCCATTCTTATGCTTATAGTATTAGTGTCAGTGGCTCAATTAAAGATGTGGTTTTACAAATTAGAATAAATAAATAAGTACTACAATAAATAAATAAATTTTGCCGTCATAAAATATTATATATACTATACACGTTTCCTAATCTTATAAAGCATTCTTAGAAAATTTTTCTTTTCTAATTTTGGGTTTAAAAAATAATTTACAGCTATATTTAGTAAAAATAGTTTAGAAAATTTTAATTATTTTAAATTTTAAATAAATTTTTATTAATTTAAAAATTTATTTAACGTCAATGAATTTAAATAAATGTTTCTTTCTCTAGTTTTTATTTGAACAGCATAAAACCCATGCTTTACAAACCCATGCTTTAAGGTAAAATTCTATAGCTAAGTACGGAGATTGATTTTGATGGAAAAATTTTAAGTAATAAAAAAGTGTTGGCAATATTCTCACAACTTTTTTTAAATTTTTATTTTAAAAATTATTTTATTGATTAAAGTTAATATGTATCGAGAAATGTGATAAAATTTTAGAGCAATTGTTTCGGAAAAAAATAAATTGATAAATTTTACAAAATAAATTGTCCACCATTAAATAGTTATTTCCGTTACCAAGAATTTTTAATAAAATAATTTGAAAAAATTTAGTATCAGGGAGTAGAAATTATTTGACCAAAACTTTTAGTTAATCGAGCTTTAATTATAACGTTTGGATAAATAAGTCACTTATATTTGTTAATAATTTTTAACTTAATAATATTTTTTAATAATTTTATTTTAATTTTAAAGAAAAATTTAATTATTAAATATATATTTTAATGAACTAAAAGAATAATTTTCAAGTTTCTAGAATTATTCTTTAGTGGGTTGTTGGTTTCAGTTTATTAAATTTTTTGCCTATTTTGAATTCCTTAAAAGGCGATGAAAGATTCATTCAAGCTCCAGTTTTTGGTCCAGAACAAAAGATGACCGGTTCTCTTCCCTCATATTTTATAAATAATTTGTTAAATAAATATGTATATAAGAAGAGTGATTTAAATTAATGGATTTTGAGCACTCCAAAGGTAAATGATGGCTCTTTTTAGCACCCAATGCCAACAAGCTCCTCAAAAGGGAAAGGAGCTATGATATTAAATAATTAATATAAATCAAAACGAAATTTTCGGTTCAGTTTGAACCGACAACCATACTTTTAGTAATAAAATAATACTTAGTCTTTATATTACATATTTATATACTAAATTCCTTTCATTACAAAAACAAATTTAGAATTACATATAAATTTTATTTGTATAATATACATAATTGAAGGATTTACAGTATTATTTTTAATTAATTTTGATTTGATTATCCCAAATTCTTTTTTATACGCAGCATTGTAATCAGTACTAAAATATTTAATTATTCAAAAATTTTAAAATTTCAACAAAAGGGAGTCTATGATAGAGTAGCACGAGGTCGAGGTTTTTTGAAAAACCGAGACCGAGGATCACCGAGGCAGGAAAAGCCGAGATCGAGGTCGAGGGGCTAATTTTGACCCGAGACCGAGGACCGAGGATAACCGAGATTTTTAAAAAATTTTAAAACTTTTCAAAATCTAGTTAAATTTAGTAAATTTTTCAAATATTTGCTTAATATTTATCAAATTAATATTTTACATCTGATTCATACCCAGTAGGCTGCCCAAAGAGATGTCCAAGACTCTTGGGCTTTTTTGGTTTTGGTCTTGGAGTGTAGTCTTGGTCTTGACTTTTTTGAGCTTTTAGAAACTTACACTCCTAAGAACTGAACTTTTTTGATGTCCACATTCTATTTTTAAAATTTTAAAAAACTGGCTTCTTGGGCCTCTAAAATTCGCAAAATTTTTGCCAACGGCGCTTTAAAAAGGGAGAAATTTGGCACTTGACTTCCAATATTCTAAAAATTTTCGCCTGCGGCGCTGAAAATGGTAGAGATATGATTCCTTGGTCTTTAATTCGATACTATTAGTAAAGCAGCTGGGCTATAGCTATTTCTCTCCTTTAGCTAGTGCAAAAGGTTATTCGGCGGCTGGGAGCGAACCAGCATCTTCAGTAGACCGGACTGATGTGTTAGCCATTACACCACGCCGCCTACTGCTCAGCCTTAGGAAATTAATAGCTATATGCTTTACACCTCCATCCCCAGGGAAGACTGTCCCTAGTCTTCTTATCTGCCCTCTTCCCGCTTTTTCTCTCACTATGCGGGGTAGCTTAATCATCGCCTTCTCTGGCGGAATTTTCATTTCTCTAACCCAGGGCCTATGGGATGGATCGTCATTCGTTCAGCGTTCGCTGAACCATCCGGTGCTACCAGTAAAGCAGCTGGGCTATAGCTATTTCTCTCCTTTAGCTAGTGCAAAAGGTTATTCGGCGGCTGGGAGCAAACCAGCATCTTCAGTAGACCGGACTGATGTGTTAGCCATTACACCACGCCGCCTACTGCTCAGCCTTATGCTACGCTTACATAAAAATCGCGCGCGACACGCGACAGTCGCTAGGCGACATGTCGCCGGCGACAATCGCTAGTTGTGTGCTTACATAAAATCGGCGATTTCCGCAAAAGCGACTGTCGCAAAGCGACAAAACGCTATTTTTATGTAAGCACAAAGCAGCGACGTCGCTAGGCGACATGTCGCCTAGCGACGTCGCAAATCGCGCGCGATTTTTATGTAAGCACAAAATTATTAGTCTTTCTATCTTTTTCTTCTATATTTTCTTTATTTATTTATCTCTATTTTTCACGTTGGTGAAAGTCAGAGTACTGTAATGTATAGGACAATTCGTTGCCACTATTTTATTGTGGCTTTTATATTGTGGGTTTTTTTTAATTTTTCCATTGATATTAGAGTTAGGAACGGGTCCGGGACCCGATCCCGGCTTTTTTCACCGGGAAACCGGGAAAAATATTTAGTGTAAATATATTAGTGGTGGTCATATGTTTATGGACAAATGATTTTCCATCTAAAACTTTGTAGATTAATGCCAAAAAATTAGACTTCAAAGGATAAGAAATATTCCTAGAAAATTCCTAAGAAAAAGAAATATTCCTAAGAAATATTCCTGCCTTATCTTCACGAGTTTTTGTTGGAAGAATAAAAGCCTAGGCTAAATTGTAGCAAATTTTATGGGCTTTTTAATGGGATTTTCCACGAAATTTTTTGATTTTACACGAAATTTTATGGGCTTTTTAATGGGATTTTCCACGAAATTTTTTGTCCCCAACTATATGGGACGAGCCCTACTCATCAAGAAATGGTCACTTTTTCGTGTTTTTGGTATCATTTGATAGAGAATCAAAAGCTTTACAACATATAAAAAATTCAGAATTTTTGACCGATTGATAAAAAGTTATGATAAAAATACTCGATAGCATACTGAAAATCTCAAAATATCGAAAAAAAAGAATATTTTTTGCAAAAAGTATACCTTTTTCAAAATCAATTTTGACCCATAAGATTTAACTTTAAAAATATAAAATTTATATTGATCGATAGAGAATAAACTGAACTTTCAGAATCTTTTTAAATTTCTAAAATCGGATCAGAATTGATCGAGAAATAGCATGTTGCAAAAAAGTGTCGCCAAAAATTCAAACATGTTTGAATCAAAAAAAGTGTCGCCGGCGACATGTCGCCGGCGGAAATCGCATTTTATGTAAGCACACGAAAAAGCGACAAAATCGCGCGCGACATGTCGCCGGCGGAAGTCGCGGTTTATGTAAGCACTCAAAAAAGCGACAAAGTCGCGCGCGACAAGTCGCCGGCGGAAGTCGCTTTTTATGTAAGCACGCAAAAAAAGCGACAAAGTCGCCGGCGACTTTTCTCTCCTCTTTTTCCATTATCTTTTCTGTCGCGTGTCGCGCGCGATTTTTATGTAAGCGTAGCATTAGGAAATTAATAGCTATATGCTTTACATATTTGATTATTTAGTAGACTGGATTTAGACGGATATGGGTGGGAGGATCAAAGGAGAGTATAAGGGGACTTGGCTTCCAATAATTGAATGTAAGTGGATAGGATATCATGGATTTGTGGTGATATAGTGTATACAGAGGCCCTCTAAGTTTAAAATTCAAAATTGTGTACCTATTAAAGTAAAGAATTGGTGCATTAACAGCTGCAGATATGTTTAGAATAACTGCCAAATATCCAATTAAATACCATAACATTTCTGGAGAGATAGATAAAAATGCCATAATTAAACAAACTAAGGCATTTAAGATAAAATATCCTCCGATATTTACAAAAACTATTAAGGAAAGTGAACGAAATAATTTTCGTAGCTTTTCGTTTGCCAAATCTAAAAATTAAAATATAAACATATTAAATGGGCTGTAATTCATAATTATAGTACCACAATTTATTGCCTTTTTTAGGGTATTAATGTCCGAAAATTTTTATCAGAAACTCCGATAAAAGTTATGTATTCCCATTTTTTTCTCCCAAATTTTCAAGTAATCGAAACTAAACTAGATTACTATTTAGAAACTTTTCGATATCGAGGTTTTTAGGCAATGAGCTTACGCCAACTATAGAGCCTATGCCGAATTACCTAAGCGTAGCATTTACCTAAACACCTTCAGCTTTAAAAACATTAACACAGAATAATTGAAAAATATTCAAATTTTCTGAAATTTTTTCAAACTTTGATTTTTATTTCAAATTTTCTGATTATAGATAGTAAATCAATATAAAGGAACGGATTTATATGGATTTCCATATTTTTTCTGGCCTAGTTGGGTTCTAAAACGTCCAAAAAACTTAGTTTTATCATATTTTGATAAGGCCGTATAAAGTTATCATTTTTTGTAAAATTTTGCCAAAAATTGGACAAAATTTACAAATTTTTTTGAAAAATTTTTTGACAAAAGTTTTCGAAATTTTTTTCTACTAAAATATTTCCAAAGTATTTTCAGAAACAAAAGAACTAATATAAATTGACCTATTTGTATTATTATGCATCAAAATTAACTAAATTAACATTTTGCTGCTTATAAATGAAAATTTTCCGTTAAAAATTTTCAGTTTGCGGCCCATATTTGATCCATATTTTTGATTTAGTTCATATTTCAGTTCATATTTTGAGATCTTCAGTCCATATTATATGTCCATATTTTCCGATTGATAGTCCATATTAATCCGTTCCCTAATCATCATTAATAAAGTCAAACCTCCTTTATATTTAACCAAAAATCCGACAATTATATGAAGCAAAATTGAAGCTAACAAAAGAGGTCCATAAATTAATCTACTATCAATAATTGAGGATAATCCAAAAATATCTGCAAGATTGCCGGTTACAGGAAGGTCTGGATGTGCTACAATTTGTGACAGCATTTGATAAAGAATAAATGCGGAAAGAGTAAAAATTGGCAATATATGTAAGAATATGTAGAAACGAAAATTCATATTGGCATAACTAAAAATTTAAAAATTGTTTAAATTAATTTATGTATACCGTATATGCTCGAATAATTACTTTGATTATTGTTTTAACCTTTTGTTAGATGGAGAGAGGGATGGAGAGAGTGCATTATTCGACAGAGGGTAATATATTCAAGAGAGGGCATATCCTGTATACCGTATTTTTCCTAATAAAGTGGCTCTTCGCAAAAATTCTAATGAGATTATTAAATTAATTACTGATTGGAGAGAGAATACCGGATATGTTTAGGCAATACCCTCTAACTTGACCAATATTTCTCCTACTCAGAAATATTTAAAAAATCATTATTAATATAATTAATGGAAAATTTTACGAATCAATTTGAAAAAATAAATCAAATTTGTCTCAATGTGTTGAAAGTCATCCCGAATTAAGCATCCCTCTTAAATCCTTAAGATATATTTTGAAACAATTATTACTTGAATTAATTAGGTATATTATAAGTATTTCCTTTTAAAAATACTTACAAAATTGGAAATGCAACTGCGATAACTCTCTCAACGCTCATAGTGAAAAACATTATGATAACAATATTATCACAAACAATAGAATGACCCTGAATTTTAATCGCCAAAGAGACTGGTATAAAATTTATTCCAGTCAAAGATATAAAAAAGAAGACAAGATGTCCACTTTGATGACCAATTTCCAATAATGAGTTAATTGCTAATAAAATACTCGTTTTGGATTTGAATGTTGTATATTTGCCCCTAAATTTATTTATTCAAAATTTAAAAACTATCCAGCGCTAATAAAAACAAACAAAATGCGTGATTTTGGGCCTATAAGTACGTGTACTAGTTTGATTTATGAGTCCAAAAATACTGATAAGTAGTATTAAGTACAAGTATGAGCAAAAAAGTACTCATACGGGAAAGAGCAAATCTGAAATTTTGGTGAATGACCTAACCATTGATTTGAATTTTGAAGATTACTCGTATTAATAAATGCATAATTTTTTTCTCATAATCGTACACAGGTACGGATACAAATTTTGGTACGAGCTTCCAATCACTGAACCTATTTCCAGCAGTGTATTTCAAGAAAGCTCTACTTGTAATTTTTAAGGAAGGGTTTTCAAGAATGATGCAGATTTATAATTGAAATACATCCCAACATAAAACGAGTTAAACTAAATTGTTTACTTTTCCCATATTTTGGAAATCTCGGAAACAAGAGTCAAAGGAAATTTTAGTCTAAACTCCTAAATCTCGCAAATAAATACCAATATTTCCATGTAATATAACAAACACTTGAATTTAGAATAATTCCAATTGTTGCCGGTATGGTCAATGATAGCGCTGGAAGGAATAAAGGAAGATGGAAGCCAGGATCTTGATATGCCAGGAAAATTGCCTTAAATTTAATTTATATAAAACGGATAGGTCTTGATTAATCTTAAAAATTGTGATTGTTTTTTTAATCCAGCCCTTTTTTGAGTTCATTAGGAATGGACTTGGGCGATTATTATTTTTAATAAACTTACCGGAAGAGTTGTTGAATTGTTCATTATCCGGTTTTAAATTTTTACTAAATTTAATTAAGACCCAGGAAACGCAATACGGATGAATAACAAAGGTTGATTTAAGGAAGAATTAAAAACTACGTAAAATACGTAATATTTTATATATTTTGAAAAATTTTTGAAATTTAATTTTTAAAATTAAAAAATAATTTTTCTGATTTTATGTACTATGTACATATGAAGATTAATTTAATTTTCTTTGAATATTAATACATAAACGTGTGATATAGTATAATAATTTAAAGAAACATTTAGTTATTACCATTAACGCAAAAACTTAAATCTTAATTAGATTTTTTAAATAATTCTATATAATTTAATTTTTAAACGAAATTAAATAATACTTTTTGAGGGAAAAATATTAAATGTAACAATTTGAAATGAGAATTGAAAATTATACTTTTAAATGTAAACAGGCAATTAAGGAACAATTTTTTAAAAATTTATTGTAAATAAAATTTAATAATTATCACTTGTTTGTTCTTTCTAACGTCAAGAAGCGTTGTACCCCTATGTTCCCACTGGATATTAATTTTATTAAATTATAATGTATAAGCAACGTTTCTTGAATTTTAAAATTATATATTGAATTTAGCTTAAAAAATTTTACTTGAAAGAAAAAAGCGCCTAAACTAAAATAATTACCTCATAGATGATTATGAGGTAATTATTATAATCACCTCATAGCCCTTCGACACTGAACAAATCTCTAACAGTTCGAACTCAACAAATTTATTATCTTGGCTAACCAAAAAATACCAGAAAATCAGTTAATCCCCACCTTCTAGGGAATTAAATAAATAAGAAAAAATGCAAAATACAAAATGAAATATTACCAGAAAGTGCTCGAAAATTTACAAAAAAAAATTATTAATAATAAAACTCTAACAAAATTTATTTTTTATTTTCGTCAATTTTTAAGTTCTTCATTTCTTCGTTTCCTATAAATTCGTATTGTTTATTATCTTCATGTAAATGTACAGAATCCAAATTAATTCCCTTTGTTTCAATTAAAAATAACCAGGAAATTAACAAATTTATTGAACCAATTAGGACAATAATTAAATAAACACTTGCAGGCCAACGAGTGTTTAAAAATACTAACTAAAATGATAAAATTAGGGAAAAAATTTTGAAAATTTTAAAGACCACTGGGGCAATTAAGGTACCAATACGAGCTATTAATGAACATGAACCAACTGATGAGGCTCTAGTGTTAAGGGATTATTTCATTTGAGCAATAAAATTATTAAAAACCTCAATGATGTTGGCACCGATTCTACGGCGCTAAAAATTAGTAAGATTGTCTTAATTTATTTGTTAAAAAGCGAACCAGAGATAGCAGGCATCCCTATAAAAATAATAAGTACATTTTTAAATTCTTGCCACTAGGATTAGTTATCGGTTCTGGGAAAATCTTCGGATATCCGGACGAACCGAAGAATCATATGTTCTCCGAACCGTAAACCAAACTTGCTATTTAATTTGTGAAAATTTTACTGAGACCATAACTTAGTGAAAATCTGCGAGCTTAAAAGGATCCTGCGGTCTTCCCTTCGAGTTTCGTCAGAAAAAGACATTCAATTTTGACCCTGGGCCGTCATCTATGGACCGTCATCTATCTAGAGTTGGTTGAAGAACGTTACTATGGAAATAAAATAAAACCAAGTTAATTCAATGAATGTTATTCCAATTAAATTAGCCAAAAGAATTCCAATCCCATCATGATCATAAAAAACGAAGAAGACTAGAAGCGATGCAGATATAATTACTACAAGTTGTGCTCCTTGATGGAGATTACGCCGAGAAAATTTTGGAAATACTGTATCAACTATAACAAGGCATATTTTAGAGATTGCACATATCGACGAAAGAAGGCTCTTTAAAAATTGAAAAATTATTATTATAAGCCTAAGGCCCTTAAAAATAATAAATGTTTTAAGAAATCAAACTGCCACTTCAGAAGATTGCTTCTTCTAGAATTGATGTGTGAATTAACTCTAGATAAGTTTTCAAATCCACGACTATGGTTTATAGCTGCCCCTAGCCGAAAAATAGCATTTGGCATATTAACCGAAACCCTGGTCTAAATGTCTATAACCAAAAATCGGGGACCGTTTAATGACCGGCCACCAACAAACTATTCAAGACAATAATGTATTATATTAGGATTGTCGTTTTTTTAAAATGCCTGATATTCGTAACCGAATCGAAAGACCGAGAATTTATGATAGTTTGGGTTCAAATCAAAAACCACCCTAAAGACAATTAAACTTTTAAAAATAAGTTTTACTTACTAAATTAAATTTTCAAAAAGAAAAGATTACTTGATTAAGAAAAAGATCACCACTAATATTTGAACTATTCAAATCTATAGAATATCCGGAAATTGCTGCTGTGAACCTAAAAAATTTTTTAGAAAATACTCAGATAATCTTTTTCACTTGCCACATAACCCAAAGAACCGAAACTCGTCTCAAAAGAGTTTTATCTTTGATTAAATTCCAAAAAGAATTTTCTGATGGTGATAATTTTTCATGTTCAGGTAATTTAATTGACGGTGGAAAACCTGCTAACCGAGCAATTTTTCTTTCATTTATTCGCATTTGTTCAAGACGGCCCTTACTATGCTTTAAAATATTTTTTAAAATTTTGAAGAATATCTAAAAATATACAAGCCATGTAGGACTTTCAGGCATTAAAAATATTATGATAATTAATGCAGGCATTGAAAATATAGCACAAGCAATACTTGAAGAACGCCAATCAGGAAAGAACATACAAATCAAAGTAAATATTAGGCGAGCAACTCCCTTGAAATCAAGATATTTTAAGAATAGTGACGAAGTGAAATCTAGGTGGCGAGCATTTAAGAAGCCTACTAGGTTGGAGTTTAAGATCAATTTAAGAGAAAGTGAAAGCCAAGCTCAACCCGACGATTTTTCTTACTTAATCCTTTAACTGATCCGAAGCAATGACCGAAAGCTGCCCATAATTTCGACAGGAAACCGGTACTGAAGACACGAAACCGAGGTGTTCTCAACCCACTAAAGCATCTTACAATAGAAGCCAGAAGTTACTCTCTGTTTCAAGCTTTTATCTCTCTCCTACTTCATAATCCCCCCCCCCCCCATCCTCTCTTCTCTCCACAAAAATTAAAAGTACCCAATTAAAAAATCCTCTAATAGCCATCCTTTGAGTTGGTAACAATTGTTCCATCACAAAAGTATATACAACAACCAAATCTCCTCCAATACAGAGGCCAAGAATAAAACGACAAGCTAATAAGAAATGCCAATTTGGTGCAAATGCTTTAGAAAAAATTTTTAAAAATCAAAAATTATTACCAGTAGCAAACATTGAGGCAATCCCAACAGTTAATGCAAAAATAGAAACTGGTTTACGCCCAAATGCATCAGATATTGCTCCAAAAGTTAAAGTGCCAATAAGCACGCCAGCAAATTGAATTTGACTATAATATAGGAAATAAGGAAATATTTATTTATGACCATTTCGAACGCCTCATTAAAGGCGAGAGAAACCCGGCAAAATATTTATAATGATCAGAATCAGCCTTTGATTTTCAATCAAAATATTGACAGGTCCTCACTATCCAACGAATTTTATTGATAAATATATTTGTTAAACAAATTTAACAAACAGTTCTTATGCTTGTTGGATTCGGCTCTGTTATGTATTGGTTTTGAAGAATTATTTGAATTTTTTGAATAATTGTAATTTCCCTTTTTATTTACTCAATAACCTTTTCCCATCTTTAAATTTAATCTCCTTTATGTATTTAAATATTATTTTCCCTCTTGGCTTATTTTATATACTTTGCATTCCCCTTCTTTGTCTCATCAACCTAAAACCGCTCCTTATCATTAAGAATTTAAACTTAAACATTCACTCATATATATTTGTTTTCCGCCCTTTTTCCCCATATAAATACTCATCTATTTCCCCACAATTTTACCTTCTTTTGAACGTAACTTTAAAATATTTATTTGTGTTTTAAATAAACTTGTTTTAAATAAACCTTAAAATAAAAGTGTTTAAAAATTAAGAATTGGAAACCCGAATATACAATATTCGGAGAATTAAAATAAAAGTTAAAAAGAATTTAGACCCCGGACCTAACACTGAAAGCGACTAACTGGCCATTAGATTGCCTTCTTCCTACCCCACACATAGTTGTGGAGGATTTTTTAAAAAATTTTTTTTTATAGTTTGAGCTTCTAAAGCCAAACTCAAATTTTCATTTGTTTTTGATCTGTGCTGTGTGCGGATCATTTTTTTGAAAAAAAGGGAGTTCTGAGCTGTGTGCGGACCCCTCTAGAGTATTTTAATAAAATAATTTTTCGGGCGTCCTGAGCTGTGTGCGGGCGAGCCCTATTTAAAAAAAGCGTTTAATCAGGCGTCCTGTGCTGTGTGCGGGCGATCCTTTGAAAAATAAAATTTGGGTGTCCTGAGCTGTGTGCGGGCAAACCCTTGAAAAATAAATAACCGGTGTCCTGAGCTGTGTGCGGGCAAACCGAAGTAAAATTTGAACCGTCTACGGACGAAGTATTGGAAATTTTTGAGTAATTTTAAATTGTTTTTTAATAAAATTTTTGATTTGTGGTTTTTACATTTTTATTGTTTAAATGGCTGGATCAGATTTTGATCCTAAATTTTTCAACGCTACCGAGCTAAACAATTTCCAAACGATTTTAACTCGTTTGAGAGCATTCGAAAAGACGGTTGCGCATTCGTTTCGTACCCTTGAAAAGAGAGTTGACCAGATTGAGGAAAACGTTAAAACCAATAAAAATAGTTTGTCAGGAACTAAAGGTTCCATCACAAAATTAAGAAATGCTTTAAAAAATATGGAAAATAATTTTAAGGGAAATTTAAATTTAGCTGTAAACCAAGACGAATCTGAGGATGAAACTGAAATAAATGAGGAGGTTGATTTAGATCTTACTTTAGGGGCAGAAATTAAAATGGGGGACCCATTTCTTAATGGAGGGAGTTTCATTTCGGGATATGACGGGAATCCATCCATTTCTTTTTCTAAATGGATAGAAAAATTTAAGGATATCCTGAGCTTAATAACCACTCCGCTTACGGAAGAACAAAAATTGGCCCGCTTAAGATTTTGTTTAAACGGTCAAGCTAGGGCTGTATATGATTCAATAAACCCTGCTCCGACTAGATTGGAAGACACGATTGTATTTTTAAAGAATAGATTTGAAAACGGAAATACTAAAATTATTGCGAGGCAAACTTTATCGATTTGTAAACAAGCACCTGGAGAGCCAGTGTTCGATTTCTCTAATCGACTAAACGAAGCAGTTAGAACTGCCCTTAGTGGAGATTCCGAGGAAAGTATTAAAAAGCGTCTCTTAGAAGAATTTTTAGATAGATTAGTCCCCGAACTACAATTCCAGGTAAAATCGCAGAGACCCACAGACTATGTAGGAGCGTATGAATTGGCACAGCATTTCGAATTATTACTGTCTGCCAGAAAGCCTGCTATAAACATTTCAATGTCTGAACTAGCAGAGAAAGTTGACGCACTTATAGTTTCTAAAAATAGACCCGACATTGTTACTTGTTACAGTTGTAGAAAATCAGGTCATATTGCGCGTTATTGTACAGAAAACCCAAGAAATATTAATGGGAATAGAAACAGCAATTACGATACGAGAGTAAATTATGGTCCTCGAAACTTTGAAAATAGACCAAGGTATGACAATAATGCAAGACCCAATTATAATAGTGGACATCAAAATAATAGTAGATATTCAAATAGACGGGAGGGAAATAATTATAGACAATATAATAATAGGCAAACATCAAGTCAAAATAATTTCAGGAATTACGGTAATTATCAAAATCGCCGAGGAAATTGTAACTCGAGAGAAAATAGTCGGTCCTCGGAGAGAGGTTCAACTTCACGCGTTCGTTTTGAACGCAGATCAAGCCCTGGTATTAAAGCTGTAAGCCCGATTTTATTTATGCTTATTGCTCTTTTATCTGTGTTCTGTGGTGCTACTGCTCAAAGCCCTATGATTTGTCTAAATAATTCACCTACTTCATTATGGAAGTTCCCGAAAGATCCTATTTGTCCATCCTGGCAGCCCTCTGAATCGCCTGTACCATTAAATTTATATGTTTACAGAGCTAATACATTGGAATATAAAACACCGGCCACTGTTTGTAAATGCATTAAAAGTAAAATTTCTAGGAGATTAGGTATTTTTGGATCCCAAAATGAAGAAATAGAGACTGAAAATATAAATGTTCCTATCTCCTTATGTACTAAAATGAAAGAGACCAATAATTCGCAAGCCGGAAAATTATTCGAGAAAAATGGCAATTTAAGGGCTACAAACAATAGTTTAGAGGTAGGCTGGAATATTTGGCCACTTGGGATAGCTTGGTCAACTAAGGAAGTAATAAACTGTTATGTATATGAAACAATTGGGAGCTGCCCAGAGTGTAATTATAAATCGGGAACATGTAAATGTAGCCAGGGAAGCCTATTATGGAAGCCAGATAAAACTCAACAGTGCGCTTTTATACCCATAGCCAATTGGCGTGGAGAATTCGCTTCGAGAATTTGGATATCCGAATTTAATGAGTTCGCATTAACTTTTGAAAATATTACTAAAAAGATTGATTGTGGTCAAAAAGAAATGATAATTACTGACCAAGGGTATGCCATCTCAAAGTATGAGTATGAAATTGTTTTAAATTTAATTAATAGAAGCGAAAACTCCCGCCATAAAAGGGAAGCGGTTAACAGTAAATTAAATGAATCAGACATAGCAAAATTAACAGGAGTAGTTTATACACCGCAACTAGAGTCTCAGCTAACCGCTTTAAGTACCAAACTTACGCGAACAACGCAAAAATTGTTCGCAGAGTCAGTACGCCAAATCTGTAATACATTACAGGCAGTAGCTGATCAAACTCTCGCTTTGGCAGCCGCTAATCCTACTTTGTTAGCGAGATACTTTTTAAAAATTGATTATATAACAGCGAGGCTAGTGACAGAAAAAATTATGGAAATTAGACCCTGTTACCCAATACAAGATCAGGAGATACATTTTAACTGGAGACAAGGCTTTTGTTTCGATAGACTCCCTGTTTCCTTTAATTTACATGGGCATGAAAAGCATGGATTTTTGGATACTAAAACCCTAATAATTCATTCGAGTGCAGGAGAATCTGATTGTGATATAAATAAATATATGTATGTTACTTTAAAAGGCAGAACGATCCTTTATGATCAATCAACTGGAGATCAGAGAGAGATTTCTGAAGAGGGTATTAGAAAAATAGCACGTTTTGGAAAGATCGATCTACCAGACATGGGAATTACTATCTTTAAAAATAAGATTTTAACTAATCTTACTGAAATTTATTCTCCCGAACACTTTTCGGAGACAATTGAGACAGCTGCTATAACTCACGAAATTACCCGATTAACCAGTAAAGGATCGTTGTGGCAAAACCCTAGCTCAAGAACAGAAGCATTCGCAGCAAATATCGTTGCAAAAGGACTGTTTGCGTTCTTAACTGGAGGAATTTTTTCAATAAACCAAGTATGGGTATTTATCTGTTGTTGTTATGTAACCCTACAATTTTTGGTCCAATTTATACTCCCAGCCATATTAGCACAAACTATTGGATATTTGAATGTAGGAGAAAGGATTTTTCAATATATTTCTAAAAGAAACAGAACTAAAAGGGAAGAACAAAATGAAGAAATAACCCTTAATGAATTTAAGAGCAGACCAGGTAAATATGATAAAACCCTGCCCATTTCACAAAGATGGCCTTCCCAGCACTTTGAGGAAGAAAAACAAAAAGTTGCCGAAAGTAATAATGCGGAGATTATGATTGCTGGTTTTGAATGTGATGAAAATATGCGTATATTAGTAGAAATTAACGGAATAAAATTAATCTGTCTTTTGGATACTGGCGCTCATGTTACATTAATTGGGCAGAAAACCGCAAAAAGATTAAAAATAACTGACCTTTATCAACCAGATTTCTCCGGTGTTATTGGAATTGGCAACAATATAATTCCAGCATTAGGTCAAGCTAAAATAAAGATAAAAATAGCAAATATTGAAATCCAAACAAAAGTAACTGTAGTTAAAGATGAAGTAAATAAAAATGGATCTTATAGTGGAATAATTGGAAGAAAAACGTTAAAAAAGCTCCCGTTTGCCCTAAATTTTAGAACTGGAGAATTAATAAATCTTTATAAACCTGAAGTGTTTCTCCAAGAAAAAGATAATCGATCCCCCTTTTCTGCACAAATTAGAGGAATAATTTCAAAAATAGAATTAATAGACCCTCAAGATAAACAAGAATTTGCCGAATTTATTTTAAAAAATGAGGAGAATTTTGCGAAGGACGATTTTGATCTAGGTAAGTGTAAAATAACTGCCCCAACTATTTTAACAAATACTGAAATACCGATTCAATCGAGAGCTTTTAGAACGCCTGAAAAATACAGATCTGAGCTTAAAGCTCAAATACAGAGAATGTTGGAGACTGGAATTATCGAGGAGAGTAACACACCATGGGTTAGTAATTTGGTCCTCGTTCAGAAAAGTGACGGAAAATTACGCCCTTGTGTAGATTTTAGACCATTAAATAAGGTTACTATAACGGACCCATACCCATTACCTAGGATGGATATTGTAATAAATAAGGTTGCTGGAAAATGTTGGTATAGTAGATTAGACTTGGCCTCAGGATTTTGGCAAATCCCATTAGACCGAGAAAGCTCGCATAGATGTGGATTGATTACAGAATGGGGTTTATATGGAATGAAACGTTTACCTTTCGGCCTGAAAAATGCGCCAAGTATATTTCAGAGGGTAATGGATAAAATTTTGAAAGGTATACATAACGTTACAGCTTATATAGATGATATTCTAATACATACAAATGATTTTGAGTCCCATATGAAAACATTGGAGATTGTATTTGATAGAATGAACAAAAACGGATTTAAACTTAAGGGTGAAAAATGTGAATTTTTACAAAACAAATGTACTTATTTGGGGCTTGAATTAAATAAAAATGGATATCAGCCTGCACGAAGTAATTGTGAAGTAATAAATAAATTCCCAGAACCGAAAGATATAAAAGAAGTAAAACGATTTCTAGGGATGGCTTCATTTTTTCGCAAATTTATCCCAAATTTTGCAGAATTAGCCAATCCTTTAAATAAACTAACCAGAGGACGAAACCCAACTTTTATTTGGAGTGCAAAAGAAAAATTTGTTTTTAATGAATTAAAAGAAAAATTAACACAATCTCCTTGTTTACAGCCACCTAATTTTGAAAAACCGTTTCATCTATTTTGTGACGCTTCTAATGTAGCGTATGGAGCCGCTTTAATGCAAAGTGAGGATGATATAAATTTACACGCTGTTTGTTACTGGTCGAGAACATTAAGTGAACCAGAAACTAAATTACCCGCAACCCACGGAGAATTAGCTGCTATTTATAATGCAGTTACTCATTTTAAGGCCATAATTTATGGATCCAAACTAAGAATATATACAGACCACCGACCAATAACTTATTTATTTTCTAAGGCTAGTACTAATACAAAAATAAATAGATGGCTTATGGCCCTACAAGAGATAGAACCCGAAGTTGTTTACGTAGAAGGCACCGCCAATAGAGTAGCTGATGCTTTATCACGAATTTCCGTTAGTTGGAATTCGATAAAAAACACTATGCCTAAAGAGGAACCCCCATATTTAATGGCGTCAACAACTGAAAAAATAAATAGAGAAATTATTGAAAATGAGACGGAAAAAGATAAAAATTTTAATAAAAATACATAGAGCTATAAAAGAAAATTGGTATAATTTTGAATTAAATGAAGAAACTGCACCTTATTACCAAATAAGAGACCAATTATCTGTTGACGGAAAATTAATTAAAAAAGATTCAGAATCTCAAATAATTATACCTGAAAAATTAAAAATCATTATTTTAAATTTAATACATAATGGTCATTATGGGATAGTAAGGTGTAAAAGTAAAGCACGAAAATATGTTTGGTGGCCTAATATTAATAGAGATATTGAAGATTTTGTAAAATTGTGCCAGGTATGTCAAAAATATGCGCCTGAGGAGCCTAAATTAAGTAAATATTATGAATGGCCTGAATCAAAAACATGTTTTGAACGAATTCATATAGACTTAGCAGGCCCATTTCTAGGGAAAAATTTTCTAGTTGTTATAGATTCGTATTCAAGATTTCCATGGGTTTTTGAAATTAAAAATACAAATTCGGCCGCGGTTATTAAAAAATTGAGAGGAATATTTGCAACATTTGGACCGCCGAATACCCTTGTTAGTGATAATGGGAGACAACTAGTTTCGTTTGAATTTGACTCCTTTTTGGAAGAATATGGAATCAAACATCTAAGATCTCCTGCCTACCATCCTCCAAGTAATGGTTTAGTAGAAAGGTTTATTCAAACATTTAAAAACGGCATAAAGAAAATGCTAGACAGTTCAATCCCTTTAGAAATTGCCCGAGAAACTATTTTGCTTGAATATAGAGCATCACCGCACAACTCCCTTAATGGGGAATCTCCGGCAAAGCTTTTTCTTAAACGAGAGATTAAAACACCGCTCGACTTAATAAAAGTTCAGTCATCAAAATTAAACCCTCTTTTAAATGATTGTGAGGAGAACAAGCAGAAAAGTCCCCCAAAACAAAAAATATTTGAAATTAATGAATTAATTTGGGTTAGGAATTATGGAGAAAAGACAAAATGGGAGGCGGGAATAATTAAAGAACGATTAGGAGAGAACGTATATAAAGTCGAGCTTGAGGATGGCTCTGAAAAAACAGCTCATACAGACCAAATACGAGTCCGGAAAAGCGGACTCAGAAATTCGCCGCCCTTCTAGGGTAGAAAAAAAAATTTTTTTTGTACATAAAATTCATATTTTAAATTAATATTTAACATGTACCCCCTCCCCCCCCCCATCCCTACACATATATCCCTTTTATCAACCCCCTTTTGTTTTTTAAATTTATTTACCATTTGTTTTGTAATTTTTATAGTTAATTCAAAAATTTAAATTAATTTATTTAATTTTTTCTGCTTCAAATATTCAAATAATGACAACAATGGAGATTGATCAGATTTTGGGAAACGACACAATTATTGGAGAAGGAGGAGATGGTGGACAAAAAACAACAACAACCTCCACTAACAACAACAAAAAGAAGAGCAACAACCTTTTTGAACTTGTTCAAAAAGAGAACGAGCAAATTAAAGAAGTTATTAAAAAAACTCACGATTTTATTCGTGAAGCTATTGTAGATCAATCAAAAGAAGTAGTAAAAGAAATTTTACAACAAGTAAATCCACGTTTTATGGAGATTGAGAACTCCATTTTAGAATTAAAAAATGCAGTTCAAACTTTATCCGCGGAAAGCGAGGCTTCCTCTGATTCTGTTTCTGTTATGGGTCCGGAAGAGGAGGAAGTTGTTGGAGAGCCTATAATTAATGAGGAACAACAACAAAATGCTCAACAACAAGTTCTTATAGAAAATCAACAAAATAACCGTATTGATGCGAGAGATGGGCCACAAAACCGCCGTGAGGCGAGAGGACGTGGAAATGACCGCGGGCGACCGCGAGGCGGCCGTAGTGCCATAGATGCTCGATTGTTTTTCCTCTTGCGCCAATTAGAGCGTGAGAGAGCAAATGAACGTTTCAGCCCATATCGTCATAGCCGTGGCGGATATGGAGGTGGAAGTAATGGTAATGGACATCGTCGTGACTACTATCGTCGTGGATACTAAATTGAGGAAGGGAGGAGTGTTATGTATTGGTTTTGAAGAATTATTTGAATTTTTTGAATAATTGTAATTTCCCTTTTTATTTACTCAATAACCTTTTCCCATCTTTAAATTTAATCTCCTTTATGTATTTAAATATTATTTTCCCTCTTGGCTTATTTTATATACTTTGCATTCTCATCAACCTAAAACCGCTCCTTATCATTAAGAATTTAAACTTAAACATTCACTCATATATATTTGTTTTCCGCCCTTTTTCCCCATATAAATACTCATCTATTTCCCCACAATTTTACCTTCTTTTGAACGTAACTTTAAAATATTTATTTGTGTTTTAAATAAACTTGTTTTAAATAAACCTTAAAATAAAAGTGTTTAAAAATTAAGAATTGGAAACCCGAATATACAATATTCGGAGAATTAAAATAAAAGTTAAAAAGAATTTAGACCCCGGACCTAACAGGCTCATAGAGTGCAAAGTCAAATGTGGCTTTTCATTCTTGGGGAAGCTCTCCTGGGCGTTATTTAAGATTTTAAAGATATCTTTTTTTAATTGATCAATGCCGTTAAGCTCAATGTCAATTAACTCATGCATAGGGTATGAGTTAATAATTTGTATAATTTAATAATTTCTCTTTGAAAATAAAATTGTCATTTAGCTTTTAATCAAAAAACAATTTACCTGAATAAAGCTCGATTATATGCATTAGATCCACAAATCCAACCAAATTCCATTGCCGCTGAATGAAAGGGTATATTCTCTTCGAATTGTATCAAATTTTCTGGACATTGTTGATATATTGTACAATTTCTAGCAAAATTGGAAGCATTATTTAATAAACATTTCCATTTTGGTATATAATTTGAAAATACGGAAAAAATCATTTGAGTTGCGAAGAAAATTCCAAATAGCCAACATAACAGAACACAATAATGGAACCGATTGAAATTGAAGGAACAGAGAGAATTAATCTTTGTTCTCCTAAACTTGTTGGTGTTGTTTCTGTTTTCCTCGTTATCCATCGGCGGTCTTGGCAAAAATGGAGATTTTCCATTTTGTTGATCAGACGTCATTTTTATATAAATTTTTATGGTGATAAAATGATTTAAATCTAACGTAGGTTTTCTCGATTTTCAAATCATTTGTAAATGTGCTGCTCAGGGTTCTTATTTAATTCAAGGGTCCGATAGCCTCTCTAAATTTCTTATTGCCAATTGAATGATACTTGAGTTAAAAAATAAAATGACAAATTTTTTATTCCATTTTACTTAAATAAAATGATAAAAAATAATACGATTTTTAATTTTAAACCTCTAAAAAATTAGATAAGAGAAATTTGGTATAAAATCAATGTTTGGAAATTTCTTTTAATATCAATAAAGAACAGCTTAATTTTATCATTATAAATTTTTAATTCATTTCCTCATTAAAATTTAAAATGAATTAAAAGCATAAATCACTACAAATCGTTGTGGGGGTACCTAAAGGTACAACAATAGAAACTTAAACTTTCAAACAGCTGTTAAGGACAGCGACTAGTGATTAATAAATAGTTTAAAGTTTAATTTTAATCATGTAAAATAAATTGTATTGAATTAGTTACATCTTGCAGTTGAAAGCGCCAATATAATATAAAAGAGTGATAAGACTATAAACTTCGACAGTGTTCATACTCGAAGAATTTCCAGACCATAGTCGAAAATTTTTAAAGTTCAATTCTAAAAAGTGTGCTATTATTGTGCTTGTGTACACTTTTGTTATTTTTCTTCAATTTGACATTTGTGCTACTCTTTGACGCATTTTTTGTGGCATTATTTTTGCTCTAATTACGTTTCAAACAAAGTTACGAGAACAAACATAAGAATAATATGTTGATCTGAAAAATTTTCTAGTATCGTCAAGAGCATGTATTTAATTTATGAAATTTAAATTGATAATTTATTCGAAAATACTTAATTACAAAATTTTAAAATTCCAAATATATATTCCTGCAATAATACTCAAATAAAATTTACAAAATTTTATTTAGTATTTTGTAACTCTTGAAAACATGTTTATTGTTTTGACTGGAAAAATATTTTTATTATTTTTTTCCATTTTTAAAAATCTGTTTACCATTTTATTACTACAAAAATACAATTTTTAAAAATAAATTCATATGAAAAGCACAAAAATACACGTGAAATTCATTTAAAAATAAATGAATAATCCTGTTCTTCATAATATTATTTTCTCATTTTTTTCTAGCTAAAACTTGTCAGTAAACTTGTAAATAGGTATTTATTTATAAATGTTATTGAGAAGAGTTAATTTAAAAAAAATTTTAAATAACTCCTTTTTGGTTTAAATTGAGTTATTCCTCGCTTTAACATCTTGCACTAGATGAAAGATAGAATCTGTCTGGGCCGAATAACAACCGAATATTACCAAAATACCCGATTTTTTGTCTTCCAAGCCCGAAATCCCGATTTGTAGAGTCCGACTCGTTCTGAATTCTAACTTAGAGTTTTATAAACATAATTTTGTTTATTAAAACAAAATTATTCTTTTCTTTTATAATATTTACATAAATTTATTTTCACGTGAATTTCTCATATTTTCAGCTGAAAATATTATTTTTCCCCATTTTATGCGCGTTTATTCAGCCTTTTACTATTTCACTCTTTTCCAAATTTTTGAGTGTTTGCAGCATTTCACAAACTAAAATAAACAACAAATTAAATTTAAAAGGGCAAGTATTGGGAAAACAAAAAAAACTTTTATTTATCAGTAAATATTTTTGTTTTCAATATTAAAATTTTGTTGTCAAGTTTTCAATTTTTTGAAATTATACCCATTTTATCCTAGATTAATAATTTAAAATTTCTGGCTTCTAAAAATTAGATGATCTTTGTTTTTCATACTTATTTTTACAATCATTCTTTATCCCAAAAAATCTAAAATGCCTTGAGTCAAGATTAAAGCTAATTGTATTAATCCTCGCAAATCTCTCGAAATCTCTTCAGAATCCTCTTTCA